CAAATACGGTAATAAGAGACACTACCTCAGCACCATTATTAAAATTCAATAATCAAATAAAACAAGTAACAAATAAGAATCTTACTCAAAATCCAAAAAGCGATACTATTAAAAACATCTTCTGTGACGTTGACTTATCAACTAAAGTCAATGCAACAGAAAAACTTATTTTAAATAAACAAAATCTAACTACTAAACATAATCAAGCAAAGTACAACGTAAATTATTCTAATGCTAACTATCAGAATACTTGGCTTAATATCAGCGATAAAACAATTACAACTTTAGCCAAGACAGGGTTTGAATTTAATTCCAAAAATATCACTATAAATCAAACAATTAATAAAAAATCAATCTTAGCTGCAACAGTGCAAATATTCAATCTTATGATATTAAGAGATCGCCATAGCTTTGTCCATAAAAAGTATAAAGCGTATACATATTGGTTCGTGTGTTTTGTCACCAAAGCTATCGACATCGAAGTAATATACGATTTGATCGCGGAATCTTTTATATTAGCTTTAAAACAATTTACCGCAAACTCTAGCAAATCTCGCGAATTATTAACACAGATTGAAACAATATTGAATTTTAGACTATTATCTTTACAAGGTTCCAATCCAAATAATTACAATCCTTCAAACCCCTATCATTTCCTAATTGACAAACCACCAACATCAATCCTAAATCCATGCGTGCTTGAAATCTCTGACAACTATCAACAGCTATCAACTTCATCAGAGAACAAGGCAACATCATCAGAAGCGGTTGTGCAAGAAAACGCACAAAAATGCATTAAAACTTATTGTAAGCTAAATTCGGTAGTATGGTACTATTCCTCGATTAAATTCTAAAACCACTACGACCGCGATTAGGCATTATCACAAATCTGCACCCTAAGGACGGCATCATCATTCGAGTGGTAAAAGCAAAATTAAACAAAGACATTGTAAAATCTAATAACTAACTTTTGTGTGATTACATTGTGAAACAGTGAAAATGATCAATATTAAACATAAAAAACAATTTGTGTATTACCGAATAATCAAAAACTATCTGAAACATTAAATAATTATAGTGTGGTGAAGTGTCTATTATCAATAATCATGCGAAACATTTAGGCATTTTAACGACTCTAGTGAAGTGTCAGTACAATCATTTTGAACATTTGGACAATTTTAAAGACTTTAGTAAAGTGTCCGTGAATAAGCTAACATTATATCCATAATCATTATCATTCATTAATCAATCTATTATCAATATTATCATCAAATGTCATGTGCTATCTATAAACTTTCAAAACATTAACATTGTTACAAGCAATTATAAAACTAGGATTAAGCAACGTTAAAAAAATATTCATAATTAATTCCTCATAATTTTTTAAGTCCGGGGGCATGTTAACGCGTCACCCCCAACCCTGGTATAATTATAATATTTTATTATCTCCATGCAGGATAGCGACAATAAACCCTTTCATTGTTACGCGTCCTGTCGCAAATTCAGTAATCCATTTTTCCTAGAATTTTTATCACCTGTCCCTAACTACATCATCCTATAATCCTTATATTTCCAAGAAATTCGCACTACCTGTATCAAGTTTAAATTCTTCGTATCATGCAATTTATCAACCAATACCTGATCGATTGATAAATGTAATAACCACTGATTGGTTCCAAAATTGTAATGGGGTGTCCTTAACTCCACAAAATGGGCCAATCAGAAAAATATATAAAATTATAAAATCTACATAATTTAGTATCAACTTAAATTTCATACAGTTAAGAGCAGTCGTAAATTAACACTCAAATCCAAAACATCTAATTCAAACCTCTATCTAATCATCTATAAATCTTAATATTTTAAATACACAATAATCAAACAGTTATTCAACATCTTTTATTTTTATTCAAACGGTCTGATATAGCCAACAACTAAATATATCTGGTCCTTCGGCAAAGTGCAAGTGTTCAATAGAGTTCGGCAGCATCCAGATAGATCACGAACTTCTTAAACACTTTGAACCTATCTCAACAAACACATTTTTTGGCCATTCAAACCGAATGGTCATTTTACTAAACAAAGCGGTCAAGCCGTTTTTGAGAAAATGTCGATTCAAGGTAAAAAATCTGTTACCATACACACACATACTTTTTCCAAATTGGGTCTCATTGATTCAGAATGGCTAGAAACGTCGAGAAAACATTAAATTAGCGAATCGATTTTTATATGAAAACAAACATCTCCTTCGGGAATTAAAACAAATATTGATATAGGATAATGTCGCATTTGTAAATACTATGGACGAGTTAATAACATTGTTTTCACTAACTAGCGACTGTGAAAAAACTACAACTTTTTTTTGATATAATTGATTTTTTTTAAAATGGTAAATATCTGAATTTGAGAATGAGTGAAGTTTCTACTGATGAGAAGTCTATAATGAAAACTCGGATTTTTTTATGGAAACATAAACTTTTCCTTTGGGAAGTTTAAAAAAAATCTAGAATAATTGCATTCGTGTACACTATGGACAAGTTACAAAATTATTTTAACTAAATAGAAACTGCCTGAAAAAAAGTTACAACTTTTTTTGATACATATGATTTTTCTCAAAATGGTAAAAATCTGAAATTGGGTATGAGCGAAGTTCATACTGATGAGAAGTCTATAAAGAAACGGGTGTAAAAATTTCAAGCAAATCTGTCCCGTAAAAATTAAGAAATCGTCGGTATCGATTACTTACCTGAAATCTTAGTTCTCCAACGGGTGGCTTGGCATACGGAATCCCCATAAAAGCTCTGTATTTACTAGTACTTCCATTGCAAAAACAAGTACCTCTCAGAATACCTTGATCCAAAACAACAGTCTGAGGATCAAATCGTGCACATTCCTCTTCAGTACCAGCAGAATTATCTTTTACACCTGCGGTTTCTTTTAACGTTTCTATAAAGTTGTTTAAGACTGGATATGACAGCATAAGTAAAGTTATCTTGGGATACAAGGGCATGATGAAGGATTAAAGGGTTTGCAGTAGATTTCATGATTGAATAATAAGAATTTTGAATTTTGATATTTTTTGTCGAATATTTTTTGGTTGCGTCTACATTTTTATTTTTTGAAACATAGTTAACGATTTATATAGAATTTGAGTGTAAATGATAACCTGAAATAAAAATTAGGGCAGGTGATGAAAAATTTGATTTTACATTGTCATATTGACTTGAAATTTTGACAACGAAAACAAAATTTTGATTGAGTAGATATTTGAAGATGTTTTAATTATAATAAATATTATATTATTGTATTATGAAATAGACAAATGATATGTATATATAAAATATGAAAATTGTTTCATAATCAGACCTCTATCTGACTGAGATATGAAAATATTATATCAATAAATAAACAAAAAAATATGAAAAAATAGTATTTTATCTAATAAATAATAAAACTAGTGGGGCGCATGGCATCGTGCCTTAAGGCATATTGCTGGAACTTCCCGTACCAAAAATTATTATTTTTTTGAAAACGATTAACATTTTTGAAAAAATTTTACTTCGAAAAAATTAGATTTTTGAGAAACTATAAACTTGAAAAAAATTACTTTTTTTTGAAAAAAAAATTTTTTTTTGAAAAAAAAAAGTTTTCTTTATTAACTTCCCGTAGGGCAAGTTATAGTAATCGCAAAAAAATCGAAAATGAAAATTTTTGCATTTCTCGACGTTTCAAAGGTTTCTGAATATTTTGGCATACCTTAGAAAAAATGGATGTATGTGTGTGTGTGTGTGTGTGTGCGTGTGTGTGTATGTATGGGCAGTATATAATATATAACGCACACACACATTCATCCAGTTTTTCTAAGGTATGCCAAATTGTTCAGAAACCTTTGAAACGTATAGATATGCAAAAATTTTCAATTTCGATTTTTGAACAGTTTGTTACTACCAACTCATACGAAAATAGACCCGCAACATAGTGTTACCGATACATTTCTATTTTTTCGAGAATTGGCTCCTAAAATTTGTAGAAATCATAATTTTGGTAGTATAAGCATTTTCCGAGGAAATTTTACAAATCGAGTATTAAATAAAATTAATCATTTACTTAAAAGTACATTTATTCAGATTTTATATAACAATTTTAATACAGATTATTTTTAACAACCGCATTTGTATTTTACATGTTGACATTAATCCATATCACCGTAATATAAAATGATATAGAAAAGTCATGTATGTTTTTTTAACAAAAAACAATATTCACATAATTGTGAGTTTACAATTCGTAATATTGTGTAAATGTCAAATATTATCACAGTAAAATTTTTCTTTGCACCAATTAAGCGGTTGTGATAGATAAAAAATAGTTTAATTTACAACATTAACTCTAATTTAATGGTCTTGTTACACTAAACATTTTTGAGAAATAAATATTGTAATAAAAAATATATTTAAAATAGTTTCATAGTACTGGTAAATATAGTACATTTAAAACTAAAATTAATTAATTGAAAATATCATATTTTAATTTAATCTAAAATATAATATCTTAGATTATTAGGAAAATCAACATATTTTTACCATCAAAAAAGTTTAGCATAACGAGACGATAAGTTTTTATATATAGCCGAGCAAATCTTATTATTTTCAAGTCTTTTTATATAACCTTCTTATTAGAAAATACTACCATTTTTAATATAGAGTTGAATGTTTAACACATTAATTGCCATGTCATAAATAAATGTGTCTGACGCTACAAAATTTGGCGATTTGGTAAAAGAAGAAAAAGCTTCAATTATGGGCCATGTCAGTCATAAAAAGTGTTTTTCCAAGAATTTTGGCAAAATAATATTTTCTTTGATGCAATAAGTTTTCTTGATACACTTGAAACTAAATCATGTAATAAAGTTACTATGGTCCATGTGATTTTTCTTTTTCTGATTTTTCTTTCCAATTTTAGTCATGTTTCCTCTCGGCTGTATGTAAAATTAAAAAAACTCATCTAATACTTTCTTCATTACAGACTCTAAACCGCAAATTCGCATTTCTATAAACTTCATCCCAAAGCATCATGCGTTTTAGTTCCAAAATATTTTTCATTTCAAAATGTTCTTTTCCCATGTCCAAATATTTTGGTTCTTCGTCGTTGTATGGTTCCCAAAAAATGTCGTTTAAATGTCTTTTTGTATCACATGATGCATCTTCAGTGTTTGATGTAGGTTTTCTGAAAAAAAATTAAACAGTTGTAATTTTTTATTATTGAACATATTGTTTTTTATTAGATAATAATTTTTACAATCATTTGAAAAAGATGATAAGTGAAACTTTATGAATAAAAATGGAGGCTTCAAAATACAAAATCATCCTGCCATTTTGAAAATACAATTTACAAGACTAAAATAGTGTGCATTGGTATATCTTTATTCTAATTGATTTTGAACATTAAATTTGATAAACTTAAAAGAAGTGAAAACAAATCGATCTTGCAAAGAAAAATGTGATGTAATTTAATAATTTAATAATTAACAGTATAATAAATTTTTAGCCCTTTATCCTATTATTATTTGTACTTATACATAATTTTTAGGAATCAAAAAAGGCTTTAAAAATACAAAATTATTTGACCGTCTAAATTAATTTTTGAAAATTTAATCGATAATAAAAAAATCTAGTATCTCGTATTATGTTTTTCGTTTGTATGCCAGTTTAGTTGTATGCCATTATTTAGTTATTTTTTGAATTTTACATACTCAATTTATCTCTATATTCAAAAATTGATAATTTAGAAGCAATGATAATAAATCAATCTTGCAATAGAAATATAATAAAATTTTATCACTGAATAATTAGCGTCATATTTATTTATTTATTAGAAATCTATAATCAATAATAATGAATTTTATGGTTAAAAATGTTCAATTTCGGTTTTTTGACGATTACAATAACTTACCCTAAAGTTAAAAAGTGTTCACAATATGTAAATTTTTAATTTATTTTTTTAAAACAATAACCTTTCTGTGTTAGTAGCACAAATACAATAAGTAAATAAAAAGTAAGATGAGTTAACTTTGACGAAACATTGTTGTTGATAATTTTTTAAATATTTTTTCTATTTTGCTTAAAAAATAACTCTAGTCTTAATGGCTTGTTTGTCTTGTTAAACATTATTTTGAATTTTTTTTAACTATTTATAATGTTGATATTTAAATATCTTGTTTGAGCCAGTGGATACTAAATTTGGCACTGAGTCAGCATTAACATAAATGTGTAAATTATAAGATTTCTTTAAGTAAATAAGATATTCTATTGTCAAAAACATAATATACGAGTAAATTGTTAAAAAAAAACTAGTTTCACAATAGCGAATATATTTAATGTTGCTAATGAAGACGACGTTTTTAAACATATTTATTTTTAAGAAAAATAGGAAATTTTTCAAAATGTTCTAAAATAATTTGGAAACTTTTCTTAAAATAACATATGGTAGATCATTTTCGAAAAACATGCTAAATTAATGAAAATAGTAAATTGTACGTATTTATTCTCGAAATCGTATTCGATGTAAAAAACTTATATTGCAATAGTAGTCAATTCCTCCAGTCAATTCTCAACAGAAAATCTCAAAAGTTTTCATCTTTTCCAAGTGACATATCTTTAAAACGGTGGCTCTGAGAAGAAAAAGTATTGATGCGTTTTTTTATATAATTTTATGCTCTACAATTTTGTCTGAAGGTAATTTTGCGATAAAACTGACCATTTAGTTGAAAATCGTGAAAAATCCATTTTTTTATCTTTGACCTTGGGCCAATTTTTTACCTCGCACTGGAACGATGAGGACTTTTGGGATTCCTATTATAATAATATAAAAGTTGCAGTCCATAATGAATTATTGTTACCATCACCCTGATTTTAGGTCTAAATTGACCGGGTTATAGCTTGTGCTTGTATTGTTTTAAAATTTACCATCAATGACTAAGGGGCAAATTCTCCGATAAAATTAAAAAGTTATAGTAACCCTATGTTACGGGTCAATCTTTGTATGAATTGGTAGTAACAAACTGTCAAAAAGCTATGTATTTGCTGTTTGGTGAGGCGTTTTACACATAAAACCTAACTTCACGTATATGTTATCAATGAGACATCAGAAAGATGCACTTATGATAAAAATGATATTGAAGTTTGTAAGTTTTGCAGGCTAGATTTTATGTGTGGAACGCTTAATTGCACAGTAATTATATTTCTTCGTGACAATTTGTTACTACGAAGAAAGACCCGTGCCATAGGGTCACCATAACATTTCTATTTTATTGAAGAATTGGCTCCTAAGTTGTTGTAGCATTTAATATGTGGTCGATAATGCAAAATTACTCTTATTACTATATATACTATCCACTTACCCATTCTTTACAAAATTGGTCCAGATCCTGACCATCCTTTCCAGAGTCTGCATAGCATCTTGCGGTATAGAAATGTGCGTTGTTCCCAAAATAGGAACATCCAAAGAGTTTGCAAAAAGATATCCTAAATCATCACCATGACTAACTCCTGGCAAGGAACCCCATCGATAGGGCAAGATATAACTTTTATATACACTATACGTATCATCTGATAACCTATACAAATACAAGTTGGAATTTCTTTTGATTTCATTGAAAAATATGGCTTTCAAGGTACGGTAAATTCCTTGGAGATAACCAGCATCGCCTTTTAGTTGGACATAGGCTTCGATGTCATCGTTTTGTTCTTTAACTTGGTCATAAAACTCTGTAAGCATTTTTATAAGTTTTTTCTCCTCAATGCCATTAGGATTTTTCCAAATATTAGCATCTCTAGGTATAGCTCTCTCTATATTTGTCAAAGTCTTGTAAACTTCCATGTTTCCTCTGGTTACTCTTGGCATAGATCTTAAACCTTCAGCACTATTGAATCCAATGATGACATCAACGTCAGGAAATTCACCATTTCTCATTCTTTCTAAAGCAGATGGAAATGTTATTGGGTCTGGAGATTCTGGTGATTCTAGGACTGGATTAAATACTGGTACTGTGTCCCTTTCGTGGTCGTTGTTATCTGGGACTCTGTTTAAGGCTGCTCGCAAAATTTGATTTTTGTCCAGATTTAGGAGTTCTTGTTTTTGCGTGATGTTCAGCACTTGTTTTAGTTTTTCAAATCTCTGCAAATGAGGTAATAATAAGTATATAAAGTGGAAGAAACATGAATACAATGTCAAGGTAATAATTATTAAATGAAGTTGAAACATTATTTGGTACATTTGTATGTACCTATTAAAGTAGTAATAATGTTATCAAATTTAATTATTGTGTTTATCAAGTTATTCTAATTTGTCTAAAAAGTATTTAATACTTCCAAACACATTTAACGACTTACTTTAATTATGGCTTTTTTTAGTTAACAAGGTCAAAATATATATTTTTTATTTTGCGTGACCTAAAAAACGTAAACACTTACAATATTTAAAAAAGACTATATCTTATAAATTTTGGATACTAGATTTACTAATTGATAAAATAATTTAGTTTGATTTTTAAATACTAATTACCACTTGTTGTTAAAAATGTTTTGAAGTAATAATAAATGATAAATTTATGACTTCACTTAAAAAGACGTAAACACTTCCAATATTTAAATAAGCCAATCTTTTATAAATTGTCGATATTAGAAACAATAATTGATAAAATATAAGCTTGAATTTCAAATACTAATTACCACTTGTTTTTAAAAATATTTTGAAGTAATTCCAATATTTAAATAAGTCAATTCATATATATGTTGGATAATGGATATAATTGATAAAATAGTAATGCTTGAATTTGAAATACTAATTACTCCTTGTTTTTGAAAATATTTTGAAGTGATAATAAATGACAAATTATTGTTCAAAAGTATTATATTTACATGCAGAGGTTGAATTTGATTAGCAGTCGGATTGAGTAATGTCCCACTCTGCAAAATTGCCCTTTGGTAGTATTTTCTAGTAGAATTGTCCATCATCAGAAAATGAACACTTGCTGCTCCAGCAGATTCTCCAGCTATAGTGATTTTATCTCTGTCTCCACCAAATTTTTCGATGTTGTCATAAACCCATTTTAGTGCCAATCTCTAACAAAACAAAAAAAAATCGTGATTTATCCTTGTTTTTCTTATATATCAATTACCATTACCTGGTCTTTTAGACCCATATTTCCATGGATATCCCATTCCGGCGCTGATAGAAAACCGAAAACTCCTAATCTATAGTTGATAGTGACCAAAATAATTCCTTCCCTGATCAAATAATCAGGTCCAAAAAAATTATAAGATCCTGATCCTTGGTTGAATGCGCCTCCATGGATCCAGAACATTACAGGATATTTTGTATTGTTCGCAGAATTAACAGTCTCTGGCGTGAATATATTCAGATATAAGCAATCTTCGCTTCCTGAAAAATGTAATAAATCATATTTATTTTAATGGTTTATATTAGAAATTATAATTTTGGTTCTGGCGTGACGTAATTTGGTTTTTGATAAATTCAATTCCGTTCAACAAACTTTTGTCCTTACACGCTTTTGCATTTGTAAGTTTTATTTTATTCATAATAGAAGAAATAATTTAATAATAATTGAAATAAAAAATTAGTAGTAGTAGGGGGAAGTCCCCTAGTGGCGGACACCTAAGGTCATTTATAAATAAATCAAAAAATATTTTACGAAATGTTTATTAAATTATGATTTATATTGGATAACAAAGGTAGAAATCAAACTGAAATAACGAATATGCTTAGATATTGCAAAAAAAGTAAGTATTCATCCACCCTTTTGGCTGGGCCACACCGATGCTCTCGCTTTATTTATACTCGCTTAAATAATACGTATTAAATAGAGTGTCCGGTGCTTGGTGCCGTCCGGCGTTACGGGACTTCCTCTTAGTAGTTTAAATTTCTTAATATTCGGCTGCTTAAATTTTACGATTTTCTGATTTTTATCAATTGCGTTAGACAATAAAGATTAACGTGCAATGTCTCGAAAAAATTAAATTAGCAAGTTGGATTTTCTGGCGAAATAGTACTTTTGTTTCTCGGGAAGTTAACTAATACGTAAGTAATATCTAATATCAATATATTAATTTTTTATTATATTTTTTACAAATATACGGAATTCCCAAACATGTTTTAAACTAATAAGGAAATACCAAACGCAATAAAGCACGATATTATAATTGGGTGTAGAAGTAATTAATTAATATTCATATGTTTACAAGCAATAATATATAAGACAATAAAACAAATATATTGTATATATATATATATATATATATATATATATATATATATATCTTTTTATATGCATGTTTTTGATAATTACTAATTCGTGTGGTGTAAAATTTCATGTCTGGAACACACGCCAAGTAAAAATATTATTCAAAAACAAAAACAAAAACAAAAGATAACAAATGCTTATTGTTAGTATATTTTGTGATCAAATTGCATCTTTTGAAATGAGATTAGATCAGGTAACAATGATGTTTTTGATATGATAGTATTATCAATCGAAGAAGTTTTGACGAACAACATATATAGAGATTAAATACAACAAAGTGTTTTATTACAAGTTTGTTATTTGATATTTTTCAGACATCACTTCGCAAATTTTATTTGTATGATGAATAAAATTATATGAAATTATATATAGCTTGTAAATACAATTGATATATTAGATTTTAGTTTTTGAAATGTATTTACAATATATGCAATTCAATTCACAAGGAAAATATAATTAAGTTCTTCTAATTTTCTATAAATCATACGATTACTTTGACGACTATTTTGAAAACTTTAATAATAATTAGGAATAGACATATGCAAAGAATAAAATAGTCATGTACAAAGATAAATAAATTAAACAATTCAAGTGTTAATTAGTTTTCGGCAAAGGCAAGTTCAGGCGTTTCGGAGATACAGAGCAAAGTGTGCAGAAAATTGAAATCGAGTTTTTGAGAGAACGGAGCAACCGATTTGAATGATACAAAAAACATTCAATTTGTAATGATAGAGAAAAGTTTTGATTAGGTTTTGGCAACGGCAGGTCTAACCATTTTGGAGTTACGGAGCTAAATATACAAAAAATGGCAGATTTTAAGAAAACTAGGCATCCGATTTCAATGATTCCAAAAACTTTCTGCTTGTGTTGATGAAACAATTGCTTTTGGGATTTTTTTTATTTCAAGTTAATTTTTTTCCCAATTTTTTTTTGTTGTATATTGAAAATAATTTGGATTTTAACTTTGCAATTCAGTTTATATAATACTTATAAATGTTACAGTATTTATAATAATCTATTTGAAAACTATCCTATCCTATCCTAAGATTTTTAAAAGTGATTTTTATTATCATCTTAAAAACGTAATTTGTTTCAAAACAAATATAACCATATTCCACATCGAACTATTCAATTTGATTTATTGCGCAATTAAACAAAATTAAAATAGATCTACATAATTAGACATACACGTTTAGAAATCACAATTTGCATCTATTTAAAATTGATTTTCTATTATATTCATGAACATGTGCGAGTATATAATTCACTTGTTTATATTCATATTTTTTCTGGATATTTTCAATTTTATAAGTAAATATTTGATTTAATTCATCAGACTAAACACAAGATGTTTTTTATATGACAAATACAAAATTGTGTTTGAACCGTCTTTAGTTACACATTGAACTTCAAATTTTTTCTTAAATAAGTATTATTTTGGAACATAACGAGAAAGCAATTGATGAAGAAAAATGTGGATTTGGTTAAGACAAGATTGCAAAATATTTCTATCTATCATTTAATTTAATCATTATCTTTATGATTATTTACCTGCATAAGAATATATTAGACTTTCCTGGAAACATTTGTCTCCTAAAGACCGAGCCTGAACGAATCCTGTTTTTGGATTTGATATTGGTTTTGGAGACTGAAATAGAGAAATTTTGAATTAATAAGACAATAAGAACAACATTATTTATTTAATTTTATTATAATTTTATAATACATATTTTCTAAAATTGGCAAATTTACTTCTCAAAATTTATTTGAATGTGGTCTAGACGGACCGAAATATTTCTGAGATATTGCTTACGTAAACTTTCTGCATAGTTAATAAATTTAATATAAATGTATAATGTATTTTAGTATAAACACCATCGTAGATATAAATTTTAGAGTTTTTAAGAACCAAGAGACTACATATAAAATTTTGAGACAGTCTTGATATAAATTATTTCTAATAGAGAATTGATTTATTTAGAAATATATGTAAAATAATTGTATTTTTACATGTGCCTATGAAAATAAACAAAAGCTCATAATTCACAAATATGTAAGCAATAAATCCAATATTGTCAATTTAGCTTATAGGAATCCTTATTTTGATTGCTGAATAAAACAGAGTTAAAAAAAATCAAAAAAAAAATTATGGTACTTAATAGTAAAACATTTTATTAATATTAATGGTTTATCCAAAGATCCATTTTGTATAAATTATTATTACTGATACTGAATTGATATTCATGAATAATATAAATATATCAAATTATTTTTCACGTGTGCGTATGAAAATATACTAAAACTCATAATTCACAAAATTGTAAGCCAAATCCCAAAAAAATCTATGGTTCTTAAAGTAAAATATTTATAATTGGTTTATCCGAAAAGATCAATTTTATATAAATTATTACTGATACTTTTTTGATATATCTATGAATAATATAGATGTATCCAATTATTTTTCATGTGTGTAAAATAAAAATATACGGAAACTTATAATTAACAAATCTATAAGTAAGAAATCCAAAAAAAATCTCTGGTTCAACGGCATCTATAAATAATAATTAATGGTCAGATACGTGATGGAAAAATTTTTAATGTTAAAATAATTTCCGTTCATGTTGTGACAAAAAAGTTAATTTTTGTCGGCTAGTGCAAAGAAGAAGTAAACTTTAAAATTAGTCACTAAGTTCAAATCAAATTTAAATTTAAAGATTTAGACAGAGAATTATTTTTTTCGGCTGATATAATAGAGGTAGCGACTCGTAAGTTCATTATATAAGTTCCCTAAATAAAATTCAAATTTAGATAGAAAATTATTTAAACATAGTTGACAATACATCTCAATGTTTTGTATGAGTTCGAATAATCCAAATGTAGTAATTGTTTGACTTCGAGATATCATTATCTGAAGTTCAAAGGATATAAGGGCAGATGTAAATTATTAGATAAATATACTCTGATATAAAGGATTTTTGCTATACCATTATGAATTACAATCTGCAATTTACAATCTGAAAAACAATCAATATTTATTATATAAACATTTAAATATTTTGTTTAAGGAATATTTTATAAGAAATCTAAATCTAATTTAAGGGCGATTATTAAAATCATACACCATGACCTGTGCAATCCATTTGTAGTAGATGCCTTAAAGATTTTAAACAATATGCAAAAATTTTCTGCTAATTAACACCAAAATTTCTCATTTGATTGATAGTGGATTTAAAATGAGTTTTAACCAAAACAACCTATAGACTTCTTATAAAAAAATTGTTTTTCTGGCTCAATTGCTCTTATGAGCAATTCTTAGCAATTCTTTGTTTAAAATTTATTTAAAAAGCTGGTTAATAGTTATGGTAAATTTAAATGGTTAATATCCCGTTTAAAATGAGATTTAACAAAAACAACTTATAGATTTTCTTATAAAAAATTGTTTGAGCAATTCTTACCAATTCTTTGTTTAATCTTTATTATATGTTTAATTTAATTTTTAGAACTTATACATATATCAATTACTCTGATTGCTTTTATAATATTTTACAAAAAATAGTAATTTTATTTTAATTAGTTGGTTCTTCTCGAACGCTAATATTTTTGAAGTTAAATAATAATAAAATTAAATTGAAGTTCAATAATAATAATAAAATAAATAATAATTTAGGTAAAGTTTAGAGAATTTACATAATTAGTTATGTTTTATTCAGTTATCAACAAAATCAACTCTAATTAAAGCAACTAAACATGTTATTGCCACGATAATATCAGAAAAAAAATCACACGGTAACATTATAAGAAAATTTACAATTAATTAAAAATGTTTCAAGAAAACTTAAACCTTTCCACTCGCGAATTGCTAGATTTACATTAGGGTGGTCCTTAATATGGACATTTTTGAATTTCCTTAATTGCGCTCTATCTAAAAGACAATATTAAGAGCTAAAACTTTCAGAGAATTGTTTTTTATCAATTTGGAACTATTTGAGACATTGGGAGCAAGGAAATTCGAAAATGTCCATATTAAGGACCACCCTAATTTACATGTATTTTGTATTCGGCGGCATCCGAGTGGAAAAGGTTAATTTATCAAGGGAAAAAAATGCCAAAATTATTGGAAAAAACACTGTTATGTTACACTGACATTGCCCCATATTAAATTTTTTATCTCCTACTAAATTGCGAATATCAGACATTTATATCAGACATGGTCCCTGTAGAACTTCTAAGCGTCAGACACATATGACTGACAATTTTTATAAATATAGTTTAATATAAATATAAATTTTACAATACTTTTATAATATGTTTTGATTGCGTTTACAGCTTGATTATCACATTAAACGTAATTAATTTAGATTGCGACTTCTACTTATGAAAGAAATACTTGTGACAATTCGAGCGGCAAAAATCATATAACCTTCCTTTAATTCATAATGTAATAGATCTTTAAATTTGATAAATATTGTAAATAAACTAGCTGTAAGTGGAATTCTGTCTTAAGGCAATTAAGGCATCGTGCCTTAAGGCAAATTGCTGGAACTTCCCGTGCCAAAAATTATTATTTTTTTAAAAACGATTAACATTTTTGAAAAAATTTCACTTCGAAAAAATAAGATTTTTTAGAAATTTTAAATCGGACAAAAAATTACTTTTTTTGAAAAAAAATTTTTTTTAAAAAAAATTTTTAAACAATTTTTTTATAAAAATTTTTTTTTGGAAAAATGTTATCTTCATTTTGATATATTTTGGAAGATCTGAACTTTTTTTCAAAGCAATCGTACTGCTTTAACTGCATAGAGACGAAATATAGAAGCGCGTAAGCGCCGCGTCGCTGTCTAACGGAAAAACAATAGTACGGAACCCATAGGAATGTAAACAAAACTTAAACTTATTGTTAAAATCTCAATAAAATATCTGATCATTTGATATGCATATGTCTAATGTCTAATGATTATTGTTGACCGCCAAATGTTATTTTTTTTAGTTTTTTTTACTAGATCTCCGAAACCGCTAGACCTATCTTCATGAAAATTTGATCAAATCTTCATCTTGTTAATACAAGTAAAATGTTTTTTGAACTATACAAATCGGACGCTCCGTTCTCTTAAAAACTGAGTTACCGTTTTTGGCACTTTTTGCCCCGTATCTCCGGAACGGCTAGAATGTTTTTTGAATTATTCAAATTGCTTCATCCGTGTTCCCGAAATCGTCGACGAAAATTTGTATCCGAACACACACACATGCACGCACACACACACACACATACATCAATTTTCTCCAAGGTATGCCAACATATTCAGAAACCTCTGAAACGTGAAGATATATAAAAATTTTCATTTTCGATTTTTTTGCGATTACTTACCCTATGGAAAATTAATTATAAATAAATCAATTTATGATCTCCAGAACATTAACAATCGTCATTTCATTTCGAATCAAATTCCAAAAAAAAAAATAGTTGCCAAATTTACCCAAAATTGAAAAAGTGCTCCCGCATAGTCACAGTCTAAACGCATTTGCAAATAATTCTGTGCGACATTTTCACTTACACTGTGCTCAGCTTGGCGGCATTTTCACATTTTTCAATAATTTTCACAAAATTGGAAAATTGCTCCAGTACACAAACAGTCTAAACGCACTTGGGTAAACATTTGTACCAGAGTGGCGCTTAGACTGTTCTTAGCTTGGGTGATTTTTTGAATTTTTAATCCAAAATTACAAAAAAATTTTTTTGAAAAAAAAATTAGAAACAAAAATTTTTTTTTTCTAAAATCAATTATTTTGTTGAAAAAAGCAGAAAGTTCTTTGAATCATTTAAATCGGACGCTTAGTTCTTTCAAAAACAGCCATTTTTTTTAAATTTAGCTCTGTATCTCCGAAACCTCTGGGCCTACCTTTGCCAAAAACTAATCAGCACATCTCCCTATCAATAGGAATCGAATGTTTTTTAAACCATTCAAATCGGTTGATCCGTTCTCTTAAAAACTCGCTTTCTATTTTTTGCACTATTTGCTCCATATCTCCGTAACGGCTGGACCTGCCTTTGCCAAAAACTAATCAGCACATCTCCCTATCAATAGGAATCGAATGTTTTTTAAACCATTCAAATCGGTTGATCCGTGCGCCCGAAAACGTGGGCGAAAAAACGCGGACATACAAAACACACACACACACACACACACACACACACATCCATTTTTTCTGAAGTATGCCAAAATGTTCAGAAACCTTCAAAACGTCGAGAAATGTAAAAATTTTCAATTCCGATTTTTGGACGATTACTATAACTTACCCTACGGGAAGTTAATAAACTTAATTTTTCATCTATTTTTATAACAAGAGTTAAAATCTCATTTGAAGGCAATAATAGAGAATGAGAATTTTTTAATTTTCAAAAAATGCTCAGATTTTTGTAAGAAATCATTTTTTTTAATTTTTTTTTTGAAAATGATGAAAATGATGAAACTTTAAATTTTTTTGAAAATTTAGATTTTTTTTGGCAATTTTCAAAATTACAAAATTTTCTGTAAATGCATTTTTTGCACACCATCAACAAGCACTCAAGCAACATGTTTTTTGAATTGGAATTTTGAAGTGTTTTGAATCGGATAATTTGTTCGAATATTTTTTGATTTATTCAAATCGGTTATTTCATACTGTCGAAAATGTCGGATACATTTGTTTGAACCATATACCTAAATTTTAAAATTAAAAATCTTGGTACGGAACCCAAAAAGGTTTACACAAAATGCGGACCAATTATTAAAATCTCTATAAAATATCTGATAATTTGATGTACATATGTCCAGTGTCCAATATTATTAATTTGATAAATACAAGCTTGGAAGTATTGAATTAATAAATTCAAAAATGTAGATTAGAAAACATCTATTAATTAACCATCATATTCATAATGAGAAATCATCGATATAAATAATTCAACAAATTTGTAGAAACGAATTTTTGCTCAAATTATTAATTGGTTAAAAATTATTGAAGAATTTCAAATTGTATTTAATCGAAAAAATATCGTTTTGTAAAAAAGTAATTTTTTTAAAGATTTTGTATTATCATGCAGTTTTACTTGTTGTCCATTTCAGGACAGGTGTAAAAATGTCTTTATAATAAAAAAAAATTGAAGAAAATGGTCGATAGAAATTTTGAAAATTTAACTACCTGATTTACTATCCTAATTAACCCGATCGTATATGCGGAAAATTCAATAAATATTTATTAAAAAAATATTTCTATTACTAATGACTATATTATTGCAAATGATATATTATTACTCAGCCTGTCTAACGATCCGTTACAAGAATGATAATTTTCATTCGACAGTTATGAAAGGTTGATGAACCATGAATTTCACTGTCAATTTCATATACAATTTACTTTAAATAATAATCATTTTATTATTTTCTTACCTGAAATCGCAATGGTCCAATAGGCGGTTCTGCATAAGGAATTCCCAAATAGGAACAATATACATCATTTTTATGATCTTTATATCGGAACGGTTTTCCTTCCGTGATCCCGTTAAATTGAACTCTGCACAAATGCTGATCTAGGTTATCCCATAGTATGCACAAGACAGGTGTAAATAAGAAAAATAAAAAAAATAAAAATAAAACTAATGCACTGTGAGGTAACATTTTTTATGATGTTTTTTTTAATGCATTTTGGATGCTTAATTGTTATTATTTATCTCGTTTTGTTTATGATAAAATAGACGTTTTGAAGACGACATGTCTATCGTATCAACGTTCTCGTTGAAGTGTGCCGCTTCAAACATTTCCTATTCGCTATTAGAAAGTGTGCGGATTCCCCCGTGAATTTCACATGAGACCAAGGTCAAGATTATTATTATTTGCGCCTGATAATAAGATTTCTGAAATTATATGTTGGTTCTAGATTGAAGGCAAAGTTGGCGCAAATTGTGTGGTTTTGTATCCACATCTTTTTACACCATCCCCAGAGCCGAATAAAACTCTTGTTTGTCCTATTAACTACTTCTTCAATTTGTTAGTTTTTTACATTATATAAGAGAAATTATTACTTGCATTTATACCAATCCAATAGATTTTTATATTTAGATTACTTTTTACTTTCGTACATACGTGAAGTTGGGTTTTATGTGTCAAACGCCTGATTGCACAGCAAATACATAGCTTTTTGATATTTTGTTACTACCAACTAATACGATTATAGGCCCGCAAAATAGCATTGTCACAACATTTCTATTTTATCGGAAAATTGACCTTCAAATCAATATAATGAATTTAGATATCATAACCTTGTTCTGATGCAGGATGAAGCATGTAAAAATGATTTTAAGATAAATATTAAATTAGAAAAATATTAATTTCATAATGAAATTATCGGTAATGGCAATTTTTTATATTTTTTTCATAAACCGGATTATTTAACTCAATAGGTATATTAAATGTTTGTTTTTTTTACTTAGATGGATTAAAACTATTGTCAACGTTTAATAAGCTGTTGTGATGTATTTTTTGCTACAAGGCTTTATTAATAGCCAACCGAATGGCTATCCTTTTTCATTTTAGTTTGTTAATGATCAGATATGAGGTAAAACTTTTTTGCTTTAATTATGGAATGACATTGACTATTTTTAAAGCGTTTGCTAATTATACATTTATTATGATAGTTTATTTGAGTCAATACAACATAGATAAGTTGTGTGAAGTATTGAATTGTTTATTTTTTTTCTTTTAACTTGCGTTTTTCTTCTAAATCTAGTATGTATCTATGATACTCCGCATGAAGTTCATTCCAAGGTTCCATTCGCTGTTGCTCCTCGAAATTTTTCATGTTAAAACCTTCGTTGGCCATATCTAGGTATTTAGGGTCCTTTATATTGAACGGATTCCATGTAATTTCACTTATGTCACCATAAGGTGGTTTTGGACGTTTTTTCTCTGAGATCCAAGATTTCAATGGATCACTGAAATAATTGATATAACTTACATGAATTTAGAAATACGATTTACTAATACGATTTAACTAAACTAAATATAAAACTATTCGATACGCAACACCTTCATATTATGTAAATAAACTAACTTTTACAAAATATCATGAAATAGATTTAAACATATTATATGAACCAAAATAGCCTGTACCTGTTATGATGCACTTTCTTTAATAATGAACTGACTAAATATATATTCATTCATAGACTTTTTTTGACTTTCAAATGATTCTTCTAATATAGACAATAATTCTGGTTGAAGTAAACCTAACAGTTTAAACTTACCCAGTTTTAGCAAAGTTTGTCCACAACGTAACCATCTTCTTATGAGTCTCTTGAGCTTGTTTTGGAATTTCAGAATAAATCCTTAATGTATACCAACCTATGTTATATTCTTGTGACATTGCGAATAAATAACCCAAATCATCAGTGTGACTTACGCCTGATAATTTGGAACAGCCTTGGTATAAAAAGTTTTTGAAGATACTATAGGAGTCATCTGATAATCTATAAAAATATGTGTTTGACGATCTGTTTGACTTTTGATGAATTGCTTTCATCGAGTAGTATAAACCGTGAAGGAACCACGAGTCTCCCATAAATTGTATATAAGCTTCTTCTTCTTTCCCATTTTTGGATACATTATTATAGAATTCAGATAATTTTGTAACAGTCTCATTCATCCAAGTTTCGTTAATACTTTTATAAAGAAGTAAAGGAATAACTCGTCGAATATTCTCTAAGGTGTCTTTTATTTCAGTACTTCTTTTTATCACTCTATCCAAAGCAATAAGACCTTCACGATCATTAAAGCCCCACATTGTATTTTTGTCAGGAAATTTACCCAACCACATGTCTCTAACGAAATCTCTAATTGAATTTTCAGGTGATTTCCATGTCATATATGTTTGGAATATAGGATTGAATACAGGATTGGTTCCATGTATATTATCTACATCGTTTGGGACATCGTCTACAGCAGTTTTTACTAATAATTTAGCATCAATGATATTCTTGTTGCTTTCATTCAAATTAGTTAGTTTTTGCAGGTCTCTAAATCTCTGAAATTATAATCATATATATTCTTCTGTCATTTATTTTCTCCTTGATGGATCTATTCATATATTTATTGCTGTTTTTTTCATAAAAATTTAAGGCATTAAGAAATTAAGGGATTATTTCTCTGATCATTATACTAATGAACCATGTATGAAGTAGAGAAGCAAAAATAGTGTTTTTTATTGGCTTTATTTGCATTGATTATTCGAGTTTTCAAAAGATTCTATTTCCACTTCTAAAGCCTCACCAATCATTAGCTTAAATTAGTTATGTAATATCTTGAAATATTTTTTTATATTAAATTAATCAATTTTATCTATTGTTGAAAAATAAGGATGACCCATGAATCCTATGGTTTAAAGTGATATTTTCATTTCACAAACCTGGGTTGTGTTGAACTGCCTTGCCCAAGGATTTAGAAGGCTTCCACTTTGTAAAATAGCTCTTTGATATAGATTTATAGTTGAATTGTCCATCATCAAATAGTGAACACTTGCTGCACCTGCAGATTCTCCAAATATGGTGATTCTGTTTTTATCTCCTCCGAAAACTTCAATGTTTTCATTCACCCATTTTAAGGCCATAATCTAAGTAAATACCATGCCATTTGAGCAAATTATCTATCATATATAATATTTTCTAGTCAAGCTGAATCGTTTATAGCGCCGATAATGGAAAAAGTATGTGTGTGACGGGCCTTCTTTACAATTTGCTAAGAATTGCAAAATTTTGACATTAATATAAAAAGAGCAAATTTACCTGATCTTGTAAGCCCATATTTCCGTAAATGCGCCATTGGGGATTTGACAAAAATCCAAGAACTCCCAATCTATAATTAAAGGTAACTAATATGACTCCTTGACTGACTAAATAATCTGGTCCATATAAGTTGTAATCTCCTGATCCAGTATTGAAAGATCCTCCATGAATCCAAAACATTACTGGATACTTTTTTCTGCATTGCTTCTGTTTTTTCTTTAGATGGAATGGAGTATAGACGTTTAGGAATAGACAATCTTCACTCCCTGAAAAAATAAATGACAAAATTTTCATAAAACACATATTAGAAAATTAACTATGTCAATAATAGATTACAATAAGTATATATTTTGTACTCCAAATGCTTAAAAAACTGCTACCAAATATTTCATTTTAATTTAAAAAAAAGATGAAAAGGGTCTTAAAATGCAGGTGCAATATTTGGCAAATAATTTTTTATGTTGATTTTACTGGATAACAGTTAGTAACAGTAGTAACTTTCTTTCAAAATGATCAATCATTAACAATTTTTGGAATATGAAAGTAGTATAAAAAAAATAGTACATGTAGATAGTTCTATAACAATTAGTAATTTGTGTCCAATACTGATCCTGCATTTCAACCTTTAGATTTTTCATCATTTTGCTAATTAAAAAAACATGCTCTTTCTGGTTGTATGTTGTATGAGGATTTTTCTGAATTAATAAAACGAATTTATAATATTTTATTCAGATTTTAAAAGGCATAAAAACTTTAAGAATACTCAATTACCTTCTATAACTCCATTACTTTTTTGCATACACATACTTCCTAAATGCTTGTAATGTCTTTTGAGTCTATCTTTATATTCATAAGGAGCCTGAAAATGCAGTTCAAAGCAATCTACGTATTTTTTTCGTAAAATATTTTATTAATTATTATAATCGTATATTAAATTATATTACCAAAAAGCGTCGATTTCCAGTAGGTGGTTTCGCATACGGTATGCCCATATAAGCACAATAATGGTGACCATGATCATGAACATATGTTCTATATTTTCCTTCAATAACCCTGTGCCGAACAGCTACATTACATTTATAATCATTCCAACCTTGTCCTTTATATTCAAGGGCCCATTTAAGCCCTTCAACTGAATATAATATTGAACATAGAAGTAAAACTTGATACAGTTCCATGATTATTTCACGTATCTTAGTTCTACATTTCAAGTAGTCAGTTATTCATAAAAAATGCAGCTTAGACAATATATATTGCACAACATTCATATTTACTTGTTATTTTACGTGATAATAAATTGCGCAAAATGATCATCGTCATATTGATTTTTTTGATAAACAAGTACCAGATGTTTTCATACCTGTAATTTATACAATATAGAAGTACGAGATGCATTTTATAGATGTTTTATACAGGATTTTAGTTTTGGTAGAATGAACTGTGTTTTTACTTTTATTTTATATGTGCTTTTATATTTTTGTTTCTTACTTAATTTTATTATTTTTCTTTAATTTCTTAATTTTTGTTACTTATTATGTATATTGTATACTTTATTTGATTGTTCTTTTCCTTACCTAAGCAAACAGTTTTGTATTATAAGTCTCTATAATTGACAAAATGATAAATAAAGATAATATGTGATAATAATCTGTTAATAATTCTTCAATTTTTTTCTAATGAAAGGTTTTGTTCGACTTTAGTAATATTCATTCAACTTAAAAAGCTTAATATAAGTTACAGTTTTTTTGTTAAGGACTTTAGTGTGAAAAACTCGAATCTCTGTTTGAATTATAATATTGTAGAACATACGATCTTAACTGCACATATATTTCACGTGTAATGAAATGTATATTGTTTTATCAATATAATTTTATAATTTATTTGAACTATTGCAGCATAAAAATAAGTCATATTTGTTCAAAACGTTATTGCACTCGTTAAACTAATTTAATAAATAATTGTTTAATTTTCAATTGAGATTTATTTACCTATCTAGATTTCATTATTTTTACAATTGCGTAAACTCCATATTACAATTTTATCAATCTGTTCTTTCAACTGCAAAAATATTAATAAAGGTAATATTAAAAGTAGTTTGAAGCCTATCGATTTTTTTTGAATTTATAAATTCATAAATCCTACACAAATGTCAGTAGCCTATTCAAGAAATCTACCTTATTACTCATTTGTAAAATATTGCATATAAAGTTTACTAACTTTTTTTTAATTAAAAAAAAATCATACTCATACATACATTTTATGGTAGTGATTTCTCATTAATAAAATATTATCAGGCGAATTTAATTACGAAATTATATTTGCATTTCACATTTAGTTCCTTTTTGGATAAACCAAATATTTTATGAATCATGTCATGTTAGATATTATGGATAATTATAAAATATTTTTTTAATTTTAACAGAATTTTTGGAATTGGCAAAACTATGTGAATTTATCAAATTCTCTGTGAGCTTTAGATTTTAATATATTTTCGAGTATTTCGAATAGATAACACCATACATGAAATTTAAAACAGCATTAAAAATCATGAGTAAATTTGCGATCATATATGCATATATTGAAAATATTTTTATGATTTTATACCTAATCGTTTTAAGGAAAGATTTGTTATAAATTGATATCCAAGACCATCAGTATGGCAAACTCCAGGAAGTTCTTTTTTATATTCTTCAGTTCTTTTTTATATTCTGAAAAAGAGTTATAAATGTATATAGAGAATAATATCTATATGTGTTGATTCAAATCAAATTAGAAATGATTTTTTTAATTGTGAATTATAGCATATGAATTATAAGTATTGAAGAAAATTAACACAAGTGTGGCTTTAATCGTGATTCCTTCGTAACATTGTATATTTTTGAACCTAATATTCAATGAATTGATTATATTGCGATCAACAATAATAGGGGTTTCTCTTTTTTATTATGAATTTAATTATTGGAAATATTAAATCTAAATAGTCGGTATGGCACACTTCTAGTAAATTTAGTATAATTTTTTGTATCATTTATATTTCAAACGACAAATTCTTAATTATTTATATAATTTTTTTATATATTTGCACATATTTCATCACGGAATATTAGAAATTTTTTTAGTAGTACTTAGAATGTCTAAATTGTATGCCAATCTATTGATTGGGTGCCCGGGCAAGATTGGCGTCCGGGTATGATATTTTTCTACAACTAGATGTTTTAATTTTTATAATCATTTAGAATTGTTAGGATTAATATTCTTAAATTTAATTCAAACAATGGTAAATGTTGACAATAGTAATAATATAAATATAATACAATTGATTATGCTGATTTATTATGTCACTGTTTTTATTTTCATATCTTGTTAATTGAATTCGATTAGATATCTAAATTCAATAGTTTATTTATGTGTTATATTATTGTGAATAAAAATATTTATTTAATAATTTCTTCTTTTTTTCTTCTTCTTGTTCTTCTTTCTCTTGTTTTTCTTCTTCTTGTTCTTGTTCTTCTTCTTGTTTTTCTTCTTCTTCTTCTTTTTCTTTTTGCCTTTTTCTTCTATTTCTTTTTCTTTTTCTTTTATAGACTCTTTTTCTTGGTTTCCATATGCCTTATATACTGCGTCCCAATATCGCATGCGGTCCATTTCATGAAATACTGACATTTCAAATGTATCATTCATGTCCAGATATTTTCGTGTTTTATTATTGTAGGGTTCCCAATCAATAGTCGACACATTTCCATGGGTTTTGCATTCAATTGTAGAAGAATTAAGAGGATTTCTGAAACGCATTAACATTATTTCGAAATTAAATATATTAATTTAATTTAAATATAATCATGGCGATATATAGTCGCAATTCAAAAGCTAAGGCAATTTTTTTAATACTTACCCAGTTTTTGCAAAATTTGTCCATAATGTGACCATTTTTTTATGAGTTTCTTTTGCTTTGCGTGGAATTGTTGCATACCCTCTCGCAGTGAAAAATCCAATTCTCAATTCCTTTGACATTGAAAATAAGTATCCAAGATCATCTGTATGACAAACTCCAGGAAGTTCTTTTTTATATTTTTCAGTGAACACAAATTTCTTAAATATGCTATAGCTATCATTGGAAAGTCTATAAAAGTAAGTTTTTGAAGTCCTGTTACAATTTTTACTATGAATAGCATTTAATGTGCGATGAATTCCATGAAGAATCCAGGCATCGCCCATGAGTTGAATGTACGCTTCGTATTTTTTCTCAAACGCATAAGTCAAGTTATAATATTCATACAACTCTATTATTGTTTTGTTTACCGATATATTCATGGTTTTGTTATTACAAAAATAGGAAAGGTATTACTCGACCAACTGCTCTCATTGTAACGTTTACCCTATCATTTGTACCATTTACCATAAGCATTCCCAAAAGTCCTTCAGCATCATTGAATCCATATATTATGTTAACATCAGGAAATTTACCTTCGTACATGCGTTTTACTAAATTTTTTCTTACTATAGGGTTTGTTGAGTTTTCATGTTCAACTACAGGATTGAAGACAAGATTGTTATCAGATTTGAGATCTTCAGGTGTGGGTACCTTATTCAGAGCTGCGTCAATAATTGCGGCTGAACAAGTTTTGTTCTCGTTTCGAAGATCTTTCACGTCCGAAATGTTTAAATGTTTTTTTAATGCTTCAAATCTCTAAAATATTCAGTTACGTAATGTTATTATTTTAATTTAAATCTTATTTAAACTACACTGACCAAATTAATGTATATCAAATATTTACTTGTTCTGGTACGTATTGAAAAGCCCATGGGCTAAGTGCACTTCCACTTTGTAAAATAGCCCTATCTTTGATACAAGCCTTTAGTTAAATTACTCATCATCAAATAATGAACACTTGCTGCACCGGCAGATTCTCCAAATAACGTAATACTACTTTTGTTTCCTTTAAAATGCCCGATATTTTCATTTACCCATTGAAGAGCTAGCAACTGAAAAAATAGATATGGTAAGTATACTGATACTATACTGATCTTTGTTGCAATTTGCCTCAAGTTGCTTGGACACAATACTTGATCTTTTAAACCCATGTTTCCATAGATTCCCCATTCCGATGCTGATAAAAATCCAAACACTCCCAATCTATAATTGAATGTGACTAAAATTACATCCTCGTGAACTAGATAATCAGGACCGTATAAATTATAAGTTCCAGATCCTGAATGAAATGAACCTCCATGAATCCAAAACATTACTGGATACGTTTTATTATTATTGTTAACACTACTATTCAGCATTGGTGTGTAAATATTCAAATACAAGCAGTCCTCTTTACCTATTATAAAAATATGAAATAAATCATGAAAATATTGGAACAAGAAAAATAATTTTGCGATTGTATAACATAAGTTATTTTTACCAATAAGTTACAATTCACTGTGATTTTTCAAGTGATATTTTCGTTCTAGAATATCATTAATTATTTGTCATAGAAATTGAGATATTATGATATAGATAATTCAATAATAATTAATACATAATAAATAATTTATTTATTAATTAAAGATTTATTATATAAAGTATGAGATAAAGCATGAGAACAACATACCTACTATTTTTTTTTTATGACCCAACAAACCTTCTCTTTGGACGCACATATCTTTTAATCTATTAGCTTCAATAGTTTCATTATACGTAGAATTAATAATATTTCTTACTGGGGGCTGCAATATATGCAATTACACTCACTTATAATTATTGCTATAAATAAATAATTTATTGATGAACATACTTCAAAACGTAAGTTTCCTATAGGAGGTTGTGCATATGGGATTCCTAAAAAAGCGCAGTATTTTTGGTCCCTGTCGTGTATGTACTTCCTTGATCTTCCAAATATTTTTGTACTATTTATTTCTGCCTTGCATTTTTGATCGGTGAAACTAGTCCACTCAAAAACTACACTTATATCTATACTTACACCTATCAAAAATTGGCTTGATAAAAAACTAACCAAAAATATATAATTTATTATCATATTAGTGGCAAATATCAGCCACTTTTGGTTTTAAAATTAGACTAACTTAGACTAATTATATTTAATTTATGAACATTCTCGCAATAGTTGCGAATTCGATAAATCACATCTCTCTATCATCATATGCGGTTGCAACCTTTTAATAATAAAATGCATTCCATCAAAATTTCCATTCGTGTCTCAGAATTTAAAATATTAATAACATAACGTAACAATATAATAATTCTTTATTATGCTGATGATACATTAATTGATGAAATTAAGATCCAATATAATCTTTTCCAAAAAAAAGCCTCAAATGACATCGTATTTATTAATTTCCCGGAGGAGAAGTTTATGTTTTAAGATATAATTTTGAATCACTTTTTTCTTTAAAAACAAAAATAAAAGCTTTTCTTTGAAATTAAAGTAAGAAGATTGAAAGTATCTGATTCAGTTATTGCGGATGCAACAAGTTACAATATATTATATAGGGTGGTATATTTAACAAATTTGATTATTACAGAAATCATTTCTTATTTATCTTTGTTTGTAAAATTAAGCTACTGTTTGTTATTTTATATTTCATTATCCGTTCTAGAATTAAATTTATCAAAGGATCATAAGACAAATCAAAGGTTTTGCTCCACTAGTATAGTATTTGCACTTGTAAACATAAATATAATGTAATGACGTTACATTATTTAAAATCAGTTACACGTGAAATTGCAAAATTGATTGACTGATACACGTGGTTGCTAATTCAGTATTAAGTTTAATTATTAAATATTTAATATATTAATTATTTAAGGAATGTAAATACAATAAACGTTATATTAGATCTTACATGCGCATTAATAATTTATATACGCAAATTGTGTATTAAAATAATGAACTGTGCCTCACCATCTCTTTATTCTTTAATAATTCTTTTTACTTATATTATCTCAAAAATTCTTGAACCAGTTTTAAAAATTTATAAATTATTGGGACGTTGTGATTATATTAATTTTTGAAATGTGTTTTTTGAGCGTCATTCAGAATTGCACTAATTACACCATAAGTCTTATACATTTTGAACAAATAGTCTAAGTCATCGACATACTCCTGGTAAATCTTTATATTTAGTTTAGACATATTTTTTATCTACTTTATAGCTGTCATTTGATAATTTGTAGAAGTATGCTTTTGTGTCCTGGTTCACAAATTCACAATATGTAAGTACTCAGAATATGACATGCATTAACTCGTAAGTTTTTCTTTAACTCGACTTTTCAATTTTTAATTTTATTTATTATGGTTAACAATCCTAAATATGATTTAATCTATGTGATAGATAGCTACAAGTAAATAAGTATATAAATGCTTAATAAAGTTTATTATGCTAATATTATATGTTCATGTTTTTATACATTATTAACTCAATTATATATTTAAATTCAATAGTAATATTGATTAGTATTATACAAATAATAAATTAAGGCTTATAAAAATACTTAGTTGAAAATTCATTCTTCTTCTTCTTCTTCTACTCTTTCTTCTACTTCTTCTTCTTTTTCATGGTGTTCTTCTTCATCTTTATTTTTTACTTTCTTTACTTTCTTAGTTTTCTTTTGTTCTCTATATGCCTTGTATACCGAATCCCAATATCGCATGCGGTCCATTTCATGAAATACTGACATTTCAAATGTATCATTTATGTCCAGATATCTCTTCGTTGTAATATTGTATGGTTCCCACTTTATAGTTGTCACATTTCCATAGGTTTTGGGTTCATTAGTAGTATTTAATGTAGCTTTAAGCGGATTCCTAAAATGTACATTATATAATCTAAATATAAACCTAATAAATATCATATAGTAGATCTATTCCAAAATATATAATAAACCGTAAAAACAAACATTATGCAAATTTTTTTATGCAGGAAATTTATTTTAAGTATGTTATGAGGATTTCCAGTTCAAATACCGAATTTCGTTGAATTTGTTATCTAGTAGTAGTGATATTAAAAGTTCGAGTTTTTATCAATGTCTATTAAATTGCTTTTAATTATTGCGTATATAAATAATAGATAAATTTATTTATAAGAGGTTTTATAGAAGTAATGGTGATTCATTAGTCCTTACCCAGTTTTTGCAAAATTTGTCCATAAAGTAACGATCTTTTCATGCGTTTCTTTTGCTTTGTCTGGAATTGTTGCGTACACTCTCATAGTCAAGCCAAATATCCAAATATGCACTTCTTTCGACATCGCAAATAAGTATCCAAGATCATCAGTATGGCATACACCAGGAAGTTTTTGTTTATCTCTATCAGTAAACACATATTGCTTATATATGCTATAGCTATCATTGGAAAGTCTATAGAAGTAAGTTTTTGAAGTTCTGTTACTATTTTTATGAATAGCCTTTAATGTGCCATGAATTCCATGAAGAAACCAGGCATCACCCATAAGTTGAATGTAGGCTTCGTATTTTTGTTCAAACGCATGAATCCAGTAGTAATAATCATGCAAATCTTTTATTGTTTTATTAACTGATTCATCCATGGTTTTATTATTATAAAAAAGTAAGGGTATCACTCGGCGTACATCATGCAATGTATAGTTTACCTCATTATTTGAATCATTCACTCTATTCATTGCCAAAAGTCCTTCTGCATCATTGAATCCATATATTATGTTTACATCGGGAAATTCACCTTTGTACATGCGACTTAATAAATGTTTAGTTATTATAGGGTTTGTTGAATTTTTATGTTCAACTACAGGATTGAAAACAGGATCGGTGGCATATTTGTGGTCTTCAGGTGTAGTTACGTTTTTTAGAACTGTTTCAATAATTAATTTTGCGGTTTTGTTACGAAGTTCTGTCACATTACTAATGCTTAAACTGGTTTTTAATTTGTCAAATCTCTATAAAAATAATATAAATTAATTGGCTAAAATTGGTATATTTATGTATATCAAATAATTACTTGTTCTGGCACGTATTGAATAGCCCACGGGTTAAGGGCACTTCCACTTTGTGAAATAGCCCTATGATACAATCCTTCAGTTAAATTACTCATCATCAAATAATGAACACTTGCTGCACCAGCAGATTCACCAAATAACGTAATACTACTTTTGTTTCCCTTAAAAGCTTCGATATTTTCATTTACCCATCGAAGTGCCAGCAACTAAAAGAAATAAACCGTGTATGTATAATGCACAATTTTCAAACGCACAATAAATTATTACTTGGTCTTTTAAACCCATGTTTCCATAGATTTCCCATTCTGGTGCTGATAAAAATCCAAATACACCCAATCTATAATTAATTGTGACTAATATTACATCCTCGTGTACGAGATAATCAGGACCATATAAATTATAAGTTCCAGATCCAGTATTAAATGAACCGCCGTGGATCCAAAACATTACTGGATATGTTTTATTTTTGTCAGTATTACTACCATTTAACATTGGTGTATAAATATTCAAATACAAGCAGTCCTCACTGCCTATAAATAAAATAATAATAATAAATAAAATATTCAAAAAATTAAGCCATAACTTCTACCAATGATCCAAAATCAACTTTGATGGAGAAGGGACTAGATACATGATCTAAAACATTAGTAATGAAACATCTTTTTTTCAAATTAAGAAGAAACGAATATATATTTATAACTTGAATCAGTTTAATCTTTAGGCTTACAAATTAACTTATTAACAAAGTTGTTTTTTTTTTAAATATGATATATTTTCGATGTTCAGGTACTATGGCGTATTTCATATCCAGTATAGTAGAAAATAACAAGATAACATGTTTTTTATATTAAAATTAGAATAAGGTTAATTAAATTAATACTTTCATATCTTATTTAACTATTGAAATATTTATTGAAACTAGTTTAATTATAATTGATACAACTGATAAAATATCATAACATACCTACTATTTTTGTGCCTTCTCTTTGAATACACATATCTTTTAATTCATTAGCTGTGAAGGTTTCATTATTTGCTGAAGTTTTATTAATATCAATTCTGTGTGGTGGCTAAAACATAAATTAAATATATGTACATACATATGTATATATATATACATATATGATTTAGTAGTTAATTTTGATGTTGAAATATATGAGTGAGTTCTTGAGGGCGATACATCAAACAAAGACAATTTCTTTGTTTGATGTATCGCCCTCAAGAACTCACTCATATACATATATATATATATATATATATATTACTAGTATAAATAAATAATTTATTTATAAACATACTTCAAAACTTAAATTTCCTGTAGGAGGCTGTGCATATGGGATTCCTAAAAAGGCGCAGTATGTTCTATTTCTTTTATGTATGAAATTTCTTGATCTTCCAGTTATTGTTGTGCCATTTATTATTGCCTTACAATTTGGATTGATGCTGCTAATCCATTCAAAAACTATACCTATAGCCAAGATTTCACTTATTAATAAACTAAACCAAAATATATAATTTATTATCATATTAATAGACACTTTTAGTAATAAAATTAAATTCACTTATAATTAGACTAATTATGTTCAATTCATATGATTTGCATGTTCTTGTAACTTTTATATGACCGAGAATCCGTTCATTCATAACTCTTTCATAATATGCTTTAACAACCTTTTAAAAGTGGTATATATTTTGTCAAAAATGTTATGATATGTTGAAATGCGTGTTTTATTACTTGATAAGATTTTAGTTGAAGTAGAGCTTAAAAAAGATCCGTTTTTGTTTATTTTATGCTCTTTTACAACAATCAGCACTTAACAGATTTATGAGCTGTTCTGATGATCTTATTCTCACCAATTTTACTTTTGCTCATTATTTTTAATTTGAAAGACAAATCAATGGTTGATTAATAGTATGAATGTAATTATAATTAGAATAGTATTACAATCAATGTATTCAAATATACATAGGAGCAATATGAAGAAAAAAATTGATTTCCTTGCGAATTATTCGTGATTAATAATTATCAATAAACTACAAAAGTCCAAAGGTTTTGATCCACTGATATAATATTTACATAAGTTTAAGTTACGTAAAAATTTGATTTGCGTATTTTGTGTTTGCGAAATACAAATTTATTAGAGGTACTTGAAATAACAAATTTGTTACATTTTATGCTAGAATAATAAAATGGCTAAAATAGAATTGTTTTTATTTGAAAATATTTCTACATATTTAGATGAAGTAGGTTATTTATGTGATAAACATAATATTAATAAACGACTCGAATTAGTAATAATGTATTATTTTCTTAATTGCTTAATTGTTTTTTAACGGTAATATGACTATAAAATAAAATATACATAACATAAAATTCAGTTCCCGATTTTTTGCATAGGCATCTTAAAATGTAAGAAAACATTTATTGAGATGGAAATTATTCACCTATATTAAAACATAATATGAATTATAATTTGGTATCTGGTTTTTTATTTTTGTATATTTTTTGACCGATATCGTATAGTTTATCCCACAGATCAAATCTTTTGCCTTCGACGTTTTGAAATTGTTTCATCTCAAGCTCCTTCTCTTTTGTAATATCAAGATATTTTATATTATCTTTATCGACTTTTTCCCATGTAACTTTGGATAAAGGATCATCATCCTTCTTTTTTTCTAAAGTATTGCCACCATTTGCTTTCTCATGTAATGGATTTCTAGAACAAATCATTGCAAAATATCGGTTTTATATATAAATAATAAATTGGTAAATAGATAAATACAAACCCAGTTTTAGCAAAATTTGACCACATTTTTACGAGTCGCTTATGTGTTAACACACCTTCTTGAGGAATTTTCAATTCGTAAAGTCCATAAGAATCTCCGTACATTCGGAATAAATACCCCAAATCATCTGCATGGCATACGCCAGGTAAATTTGAATATTTAGTTATAACATATTTTTTATATACGCTGTAACTACTGTCAGATAATTTATAAAAGTATGTGTTTTCCTTTCTTCCATTTGTATTTATAATAGATTTTAATGTTTTAAAAACACCATAGTTAAACCATGCATCACCCATGAGATCTACATATTTCATTTCCTCTTTATCGTTATTATATGTTTTCATAAGATTTTCTATTGCTGTCTTAACATTTTCGTTATTTGGATCTAACCAAACTTGAAAATCTCTTGGTATAACTCGTTCTACATCTTTCAACGTATTTTTTATTTCGTCCTTATCTTTGATAACTCTGTCCATTGCTAACAGTCCTTCTGCGCTGTTAAATCCCATTAAAACTTCTTTATCCGGAAATTTATTTTTAGTTTGCATGAGGTCAAGGATATCCTGTGTAACTATGGGATCGTCGGTAAAGTCGTCTTTTTCGATCACTGGATTGAAAACTGGTTTAGTTGCTCTTCTTTCATCCTCTGAATCAGGAACCTTTTTCGCCGCTTCCATTATTTGGTCGACAGTTAGAGATTGAAGCTTAGATAAATCTGCTGCAGCACCTCCTTCCAAAGTTAGTGCTTTTGTGAAGTTTTCAAATCTCTGTAATAGTAAATATTAGCAGTGGCTAGCTTTGGTTATTGATTGTGAGTTGTTATATTTGGCGTCAAAGCGTCCAAAAAATCATTTTCAATTTTTTTTAAGTTTAGGCAAAATGGATACCAATTTTTTACAAATAAAATTAATTTGAAAATCAGAAAATCAGAAAGTCTGTTTGATTTATAAATGTGTAAAAATCATTTTGAACATTTGTCCAATTTGTTGATTTACGAATGTGTAAAGATCATGTGTAAACATGTGTCTAATTTGTTCGAACACATATGCATATTCCTTAATATTTTTTTCTCAGATATTTAAAGAAAATCTTTTACTTCTTTCGGTTGAAATTGATAAGCCCAAGGATTAAGAGCTGAACCGCTTTGCAGAATTGCTCTTTTATATAAATTTTGTGTAGTCGAGTCCATCATCAGATAATGAATACTACCAGCTCCTGCAGATTCTCCAAAAATAGTTATTCTGTCTTTGTCGCCTCCAAATTTGTCAATATATTTATTGACCCATTTTAAAGCTTCTCTCTAAAATATATAATATATATCAATCTTTCTCTGTATATGTATATCTTTATATTGTGTACAAGCAAATTATTTTAAGTGAAGGATTTCAATAGAGAATTGCTTGTTGATTTTTGTTCCCCAAAAACTTCCAAAATTTAATTAACAAATTTCAAGAACAAAAGTGCAACAAATATACTTAATAAACTTTTTGCTAATAATAAATTATTATATACATCATGATAATCGTATATGGTATTAGATGTGTAGTTAAAGTGCTAATGGAAAAATATGTATGTATTTTACATTACCTGATCTTTCAGACCCATGTTTCCATGTATACCAATGTCGGGTGCTGACAAGAAGCCTAATATTCCAAGACGATAATTTATTGTTACAACTATAACGTCTTGTTCGATTAAGTAATCAGGTCCATAATACTGCCATCCACCGTTTCCTTTATTGAAGGATCCACCGTGCACCCAAAACATGACTGGAAGTTTTTGATCATCCTTCTTTGGCCAGGGTACATAAACGTTCAGAAATAGGCAATCTTCATTTCCTAATAATATTGACACATTTCATGAAAATTTAGTTTCAATTCTATAAATATGATTACAATTGTAATCAATGAATATAATATGATTGTATGTATCACTAATTTTATTTAAGTCATATATGTGAGATTTATATTGTAATTAGGTGTAGTTCAAATGGATTAATGCCCGTGCCTGTTATGCCTCCTTTTTCTGTTTCTTGAACACACTCACTTCCCAATTTTTTCGCTGTTAAACTGTCAGCAATGTTTTTCATTATTGGCGACTGAAATATTTTATTAAATTATATATCTAATAATTTAAATATGTAAAACATAAAATCTAATTCATATTAAGAAAAAGCTTTTTTCATGTTTGTAAACACTAATTGCTAAATTTGTACTAGGTATACGCTTTACTTTAAATCGTTTGTCGACTGTTGGAGGCTCAGCATAGGGAATTCCCATGAAAGCTCCGTATTTTTTTCCAGAAGGTGTACTGTACTCTTTTCCAGTTATTCTAATTTTATTTTCTATTGTAATAGTAGCATCATTACTCCACCATCCCCAACATATATCAATAGTCGAAATTAAATATAAATTAAGAAATATTAGAATATTCATTCTATATAAACTTCTAAATATTTATATTAGAAATATTCTATATAAAATTCCAATATATTTATATTATAATTATTGTAACTAATGATTCTGCTTTTTAATGATACAAATATTTTGTTTTCATTGTTTTTATAATTCAGATATTTTCCGCTTATTTCAATTTTTCACATATTAGGTAATATATTCTTATTTTTTATTTATTCCTTTGAAATTATTGCATCAATGTTTTTTGGCATTTAGAAAATTTTTTTTTGTGTCATTACGATTGTGCAATTCCATGAAACACGTTTTCGGTTATAGATACATTCTATTTAGTTGCTTAAGACATCATAATTAGTCGTTTTTATTGAAATAATAAAAAATACGTCTCGTCAGCAAGTAATATAATAAATATCTTTTATAAATTAGTTTCAATAAATAGTTAATTAATAATTATTATTATGTAATTATGTAATATGATGTTAAACTTCTCTCTGAAATATTAAAATGCAATAAATCATTGCATGTATTAAAGCCATATTGATTATTTTTAAGGTCTTTGCCAAAATTTATTATGATGAGATAAATGAGTGAAGTAAAATGATGCAAAAGGTATATTTACTTAATATCAATGACATGAAAACAAATTTGATATAAATGATCTGAGAAATGAGTTTTATTATTTAATTTTTACCAATTTGATAATTTTGAATTTAAATTGCTTAATAGAAGCAAATAGTCGAATAGGAAATAAATTACACAAGCGATAATTAAAGAGGAAATTTAAATTTAAAATATGGTTTATATGTGTGTATATATGTACAGCTTGGCCAAATAATGTTTTTGGTAATTAAAAAGTATCAAAAACTACTGGTTAATCACATTTTTGATACACTATTCGATTAAGTGCAGATTTACAGAACTTCAGCGATTTGCTTGACTAATGATACATTTTGTCGTATATTTATGGTTATAATATATTAAATCAGATAACTATCCTTTATATGCATAGCAACTATAAATATTTTAAGTATAAATTTGACCAGATTATTAAACAATGCGTAAAATATCAAATAAAGTAATCAAAACAAAAGCAATGGTTACAGTAGGCGTGGATATTTTCAAAACATATGAAAATATAATTTTGTCTCGATACACACCGATATTTTTTATTTATGAAATCATACTATAATTATATTCTAAAGTAACAAAGAATTAGGATTAAAAGAAATATCTAAAGTGGAGGTATGGCTGATCAATTAACTGCTGAGCAAATAGCAGAATTTCAGGTATATTAAATGATGGAGAAATACAATTTTGAATTGACATATTTGACAGATTTTAGGTAAAAATGATTTTGATTTTGGTTGTATGAATTTTTATAAAAAAGAAATTAAAAAAATATAGAAAAAATATTTGGTTGGAAAGTGTAAAAATGTAATTGTAAATACTAGGGACGACTCAGGCATGATTTATTTTGGATGCAAATTTATATTTAATATAGACAAACTTGAAAACCATAAATAATGTCAAATTTGACAGGAAAAAAATATTTTGATAATCTGATTAATTTTGGGCTTATATAGTTTCTGATTATCATTAATATAATTAATCTGCGTTATAAATTGAACAAAGATTTCAAGAATTGCTATTTAATTTCAACGAAGAAACCAATCCATGAACGAATTATAATAATTACAATCATATTTTTTAATGAACGTGGACTTCTCTTAAACTATTTAAAAAATTGAAAATAGGAAGCCTTCTCTCTATTCGACAAAGATGGTGACGGTCGTATTTCTGGAAAAGAACTCGGTACCGTAATGCGTTCCTTGGGACATAATCCTACCGAAGCCGAAATTGCCGAATTGGTAGCTCGTACTACTGATTCAGGAATCCCAGGAATGTCTGGTGCCAATCCTGATGGCACTGCTGGTGACGTTTGCAATTTGAATGAGGCTACTGCTGGGACTATTGATTTTGTTGAATTTCTTGGTCTTATGGCTAGCAGGTAGAGAAATAATAGACTCAATCATAGGTTAGACTAGTAGAATGTTCTTATGGTGTTTTTTGATTTTGTTCTCCCATTGTGATAATTGCTTGCAAGGATGGTCTAATAGAATTTCACATATATCTCTTCTGCCTAAGAAGGCAATAGTTTTTATACTTAGAAAACATCATGCTGACTTAAAATTATTTTGCCAATTCTGAGTCAATTATTTTTCTGATAAATAAAACCGGTGTTTTTTTTAAAATTATATCAATTACTTAGAATTGGTACCGTAGCCAACACAGAAGAAGAAGTACGGGAAGCTTTCCGGGTTTTCGACCGTGCCGGAAATGGTATAATTTCTGCGGCAGAACTTCGGCACATTATGACCAATTTGGGCGAAAAGTTGACCCAAGAAGAAGTTGATGAAATGATTAGAGAAGCCGATATCGATGGCGATGGACAGATTAATTATGAAGAATTCGTTACTATGATGATGGCCAAATAAAATTAAATTTAATGTTAATTGATTAACACTTTGTGTTAAATGTTTATTTGAGAATTATCTTGTGTAATTGAATAAAGTGGCCAAATAGTTTTTTACAATATTGCTTTTTTAAGTTTATAGTTTTAAAGTTTACATCAATCGCTTTTGATGTCAAGTGCTCTATAATCTATGATACAGAAAGTGTATGAAATGTGCATATTTCTATTTTTTCTATATCAATTTAAATTAAATATCTGGTTTGGTGTCTGTTTGGTACTGAAGCTACCTAGCCTAGAATATTTTTATCATATTTAATATTACTTCAATATATAGTTGAGTCCAATAAAAATCTTATACTATAAAATATTCTGCCAAGTATTGTTTTTCTTTCGAAGTTTACAAAGATCGCTTTTGATATAAAGAACTCTATTGCCACATAAAGTGTGTAAAATGTGCATATTTCTATTTTTTCTACATTAATTTAAATTTAATATTTGGTTTGGTGTCTATGTTTGGTGCTAAAACTACCTAGCCTATAATATTTTTATCATCTTTATTATTTCTTCAATATGTCCAATAAAATGCTTATACTATAAAATAAATATATCGATACATCAAAATATCTCGAGAGGTATCTTCTGTAAATCATAGAACTAAAACATCTAAAAATGATGAAGTAGAAAATAAATTAAAATAACAAATTAAAACGTAGGTAACTATCAGTTTTCTAATTTATTTATTTCCATTTATATCTAACAAAAATATAAATTATAATTCTCTCACAGAGCTTAGTACGTATTAACTTAGTATTAATTATATTAACTAAACAGAATGTTGCCTAAAAGAAAATATTTTGATCACTTTTTGTTTACATAATTTCATTAAGTACATAGAGTATTTATATTATATTATTCTACATATTATGAAATGCTGAAAAGTATAAATATTTGCTTTGTATTATTATGCCAAAACATTTAGCAATGATATTACTCTCAGTTTTTTGGCGATATCATCTGCAGTCATATTCTGAAAATGGATAATGAAAAATTATTTAAAAAATCCTTTATATTGCAAAATTTGCAATTTTTAACATACTCAAAAAAATTAGTTATATGGTAACAAACGAGAAATACTTGCACTCAATTTCTCGTTTTTTATGAAGTATGACTTCTAAGAATTTTTTTGTATCTTTTAAATTCAAATCAATTAATTTCCAAAAATATTAAACGATTTCAACTGATTACTTACATCTGCTGCTTGAAAATCTACTATTTCTACTGGATCAACTTGCAAATATCCATTTTTGCTAAAAGTTCCTTTAATTCCTTTAACTTCCAGCCAGACGAATGGAGATACTGCATCAGTTTCAACTTCTATGCAGAATACTCCAGTTGATTTTTTGCATGGAATTACTTTTGCCTAAAATAGAAATATTTTTTAAAAAAATTACACAAGTTTTCTAAAAAGTTGGGGAAAATTCATTCACAGGGAATAAATCCATTACTCAAAGTTCCTGATGGTAATATTCAAAACTGTGTCTATTATTCGATTAATAAAAAATGAAGTGAGAAGCACCACAAAAAATCTCTAAATACCACCTGTGAAGGGCGGGTTTAGTAAAAATTTAGGTGTATTCATTTTCTGCATGAGTTAAAAAAACAATCATAAATTTTTCATAAACTTTATAAAAGTACTGAAAATACAAGTGATGTCAGGTGTGCTAGAGGGTTGATTTTAAATATCTCCACATATCACCAAGGGGGAAGAGGGTCCCAAATTCCTTACAAATTTACAAACCAGAATCTTCTCAACGATTGATGGTCCTAGTAACTAGATATCTTACAATCATTTGAACTATTAAATCTCTATAAGTTTTCAAGGATTGATGAATATTGTGGATATAGAAAAAACTTAAAATGGAAAATATATTTTTATTACCGTAATATTGGGAGCCACCAGCCCAATAGCATCCTTAAGTGGCCCTAAAAACAGTACGGCCCTTGGTCCTAGAACTCTGGTACTATTTCCTTTGTAAAGTTGGGCCGTGATGACACATTCGTTTGGTCTGCAACCTGACCAGGTCATTTTGCGTCTAAGAGGTGATTGTTGGGCTACTGTTACACTATTGCCTTTCTAAAAAATAAGAAATACTCTAAATAAAATTAAGAGGCAACTTGAATCTTACCATTTCTTGTATAGATGCAAAAAAATTGTTTCCATAATGCAGGAGTATTAATACTTTATCCTAAACTGCGCAGACTGTTGACAAAATTTAATCAATATTCATTTTAACATACACAAATCAATAGAAAACCATTAGGCAAATGCAAGTATTACATTTGATATTAATCAGAAATTTAATTTTTTTTATAATTATTACTTCTACTTACAATTAACAATTTTTCCTCGTCGACTTTCCTCGGTGTCAATGAATCCCAGCCATAATAACTGATTTTCAAAGTAGCCCTTATTCCTTTTACAGGATCTCGAACCACGAAGATCTTCAACATTTTTGCTTCGGATAATTGCATACTGACAATTGTTGGGGCGAAGAATTCTGTGGCATGGTAATGGAGCATTTTCCAATCTCCGTTATACTCTACATAAAAAAATGTAGATATAAATTTTATTTTTTAAATTCTAAATGATTAGATAGTATATAGTCGTAGTAAGTAGTTGTCATGGTAATATCATGAGCGTCAAATTAGAAAATATGTTCGTCTATGGAAAATTTAAATTGAAGATAACGAAAGATCTGAGGCTATACTTGCTTATATCTTTTATATTTTTATATATTATAGTTTGTAGGTACATTCGTCCAAAGTAGTATAGAATATGAGATATATTATTCTAATTTGGTTTTAAGTTGAAATTACCTATAGATGACCAAGATGGAGCAACCCATACATCATTCAATTGCCAATAAAGAGCACCCATAGTTTTGGCTGGACTTATTCTACCGACACGATATGCCTCGGATTCAGTTCTAGTTGCCATCGCTTGGCTAATCTATTTTAAATTTAAAAAAATCATTAAAATTAATTATAATATAATTTTACATATATCTTCTATACAAACTATAGTTTTAAAAACAGCTATTATGCCAAAAATATCACTCATAGAAGTATTCTTTTTTCTATTTGCTGATAATCAAAGATTTTGAGTTGGATTTATATAAAAGTTTACAGATAAATTTATTCCAAATTGCCATAGATTTGCAATAAAAATGATTTAATCATATTTAAATTTTAAACACAGGACAAGCATAAATCTACCAGAATTAATAGTCATAAACAAACTAATGTAGCAAATGTAGAATAAATTGTGAAAATTGTTATGAGATTTTTGTAGTTGCAAATTTTGTAGAGACACACCAAGAATCCAACTCGTGAAGACAAAAACTAAGTTTATTTTATTCCATAATTAATTTTTGTTGCAATTACGGTCATCAGATAATCAGATTGAACGTTTGAATTATATAATAAAAATATGCGATTGATAATGATAATATGGTTCTCAATTCCAATAAGTTTGGCTTAAATTTTGATATCGAGATGTTGAAGAACTTTCAGTAAAATTTGATCCAGAAAAACATTATTTTGTTAGTTAATAGACAATATGAATATTTCCTTATATTTTTGATTATTTACCTGACTGTAATAAAATGCAGTTTCAGGAAAATGTACACTGTTTTCACTTGGCAATGGCAAATGTTTTTTGATAAGCGTCACCATCGGTTTGTAGCCTAGTGGCAGGTGCTGCCTGCAATCAAGAATAAATATTATAAAGAAAATAATTTTACTTTATATTTTGAATATATACAAAAAATTTAGATAAGAATGAAAAATCTTTAACAGTTTGTCAATTTTTACCTATGTTCTGGACCAGCCTTAGCACTTGTCCAGGAATGGTGCGAGGGCAAACCTTGAAAACCATATTCGGACACAAATCTGGCTTTTGGATAAATATTCGGATCCCAACCATCGTTCACATAATTATATACGTGCACTAAATACATTCAAAAAATACTTTAATTTATTTTAGTATATAATATATTCGTATTAAAAACGCCATTCTATTAAGGGAATCGTAGCAGTAAAAATAGTAATTGACAAAACTACTGTCTTTAGTGAACATCTAACTAATAAAAAGTAAATATAAAAAATAAATACTCCCTTGTATAAATAAGTTTCTACTGTTACTTGCATTTATATATAGTGGTTAGACAAATTTTTATCTACGTATAAAAAATAATTTTATCTGTTTATTATAATTATGACTTTACTTGTTGTTCTATATTTTTACTACTAACTATTCAAAGATTTAAGTATTCTTAAATTCATTTTGACTAAAGTTTGTTGAACTAATAGTATGATAAATATCTAGTCAAGAAGCAAGCTAAGATTTTTTTAAGATAGTTTTATTTAAACTTTTTCAATTCAATTAACTTACTATCTCCATATCTGTAATCTTGGGGATCACTGGCTATAAAATCTTGATCTTCTGAATTAATTCCATTAGATGGACTTGACACTAAAAATGTTCTTGATGGATCTACTCTTCTTACTGCATCCCTTATTACATTCACATATAATTCTTTATATCTGTAAACACAAAAACACTGATTTATATGAAATTTGAAATATTTAAAAAAAGAAGTTAATTAAAAAAACAATGGATTTACAGTTATTTTGATTTAAATATAAACTCTTATGAAATTAGATAGAAATTCTCATCAATGCTGAAAATAAAGTCAAAATGTATGTAGATACTTTTCAAATTATGGTCCATTGAGAGCAAGTTCTTTTTTCTGAAAATATTTATCAATAGTCCCACTTTACATGAATTAATGATTTTCCCTAATCGAATAAAATAGATCGCACTATTGATCGCAAACGCCTTAAAATTGTATGGCAAATTATAGAAGACATGAGGCTCTATTTGCAATACATTTAACGGTAAATTTTTAATGTAAATAAAGTTTTCATACTTACTCTTTTTCATATCGTTCCTGTTCAGTAATAGTTCCATACCAATTTTGACGTAAAGCAGCCTCATTCTCATTGTTTCCAGCCCAAATAGCAATACTAGGATGATGTTGTAACCTTCTTGCATTTTGGACAACTTCTATTTCCACGGTACTAAAATTATATAAAAAACTTCATAAAAAATGATAATACTTAAATAGATTTCAAAAATTATATCAAAAACTTCATAAAAAAATGATAATACTTGTTTAGATGCCATTGATTTGGTAATGTAAAAGATGACCAGTTACAAAATATCTACTTTATTACTGTCTGGTAGAATAATGGATTTAGGGACATCTTTTGCTAGCAATAAGTATATGTTTTTATATTTCATACTAACTTTAGGAATTTTTCATAAGTTGGATACATAGCACAAGCAAACATAAAATCTTGCCAGATCAGTATACCCATTTCATCGCAAGTTTCATAGAAAAGTTCGGATTCATAAACACCACCTCCCCAAACTCGAAGCATGTTCATGTGGGCATCTTTTGCTGATTTTAGTAACCACTGGACTAAAAAAATAAAAGTCAATATTTATATATAACTAATAACTTTTCATTACATATGAGCCAAGTCATGGATTATAATTCAAAGAGTTCTTCAACTTTAAAACAATTCGCAAGAAAATAACTTTCAACTACTCACACCTTTGACACTTTTTGAATTCAACATAATTCAAAGGTTTCAAGAAAATTAGTAAAAAATTTAAAAATTCCTTTCTAAATATATATTCTTAATTTAATGAAGAGTCCCAAAATTATAATACCAGTGCTGTAGTTTGCTCCCCATTCTGGCAAGATATCAGCTGGAATCCAATTAGAACCTTTCATAAAAACGTCTACATCATTTACTTTGAAGAAAAATGTGAGACCAATGTTATCTGAAAATTAATATAGGAATTATTGGTCTTATTGTAATAGTGTTCGTATTCTTCCAAACATTTTAGTTACATTAGTACCTAAAAATCGTCTGCGTGATGCATTAAAAAAAATAATAATAATAAAGGGGAATGACGAAAGTTTTTCATAAACCCTTAAATTTATTCATAATATTGTCTTATGCATAAAGATTTTTTTTTTAATTTCATTATTAATAGGAACATCACTGCCGAATAGTTTCATGAAGCAGCAATTCGATAAAATCGATTTTATCTATCTATCTTGTTTTACGTCAAGTATAGAATTACGTATTTTCGAATGAATTTTGTGCAAGATATTTATAACTAACGTTTCAATTTTTTTTGCAAAAAAGTCTAGGAGGAGGATTTTTGAGTTCAGCTAAAACTTATTACTTAGATTGATTGATTGTTTTAATTTTTCATATTCCTTATTATGTTTTTTATGTACGTGCATGAATTTATCAAACCCCTTTTATATTTGTAATATTATTACCTGTAGGTTCTTGTACCAATTCGATAGTCCTAAATCCAATTCTTTTAATCCGATTTATACTGACAGAATCTGGACCTACGTAACTGACTTCCAAAGGATAAAGTGGTTGGGCTCCTAAACCGTTTGTCCACCATAATTCTACGAATTTCTAAAAAAAATCACATTATGAACCATAGCAAATGAATCAATATATTCATTGTTATTAATATAGTAATTGCACCCATTATAAGAAATATTCGGGAACTATATATATATATATATATATATATATATATATATATTATATATATATATATATAGTTATATATAATATATATATATATATATATATATATATATATAAATTAAACTATGATGAATTCTGCATTTTTAACTGGAAGCTCCAATTCCAGATAGAAATCTTTTATCTAACAAATATGTAAATATTCAATACTAATAAGCAAATTTATATAATAAATTAAATAATCTGTTAAAAATTTTAATAATAATTAATTACTCAATATTATTATTCTCAAGTTCAATATTTTTTGCAATTAGTTTAGTATTGAAAGTAAGTTAAATTATTATTTTTGCAATCTAATTCTCGTTGTTAAAAAATATTTTAGTAAGTATATTTTTCACATATTAATTGCTATAAGAAATTAATGTAGTTATTTTTTTTACCTTATGAATGGGTAATGTAAATGTGTAGGAAACTACACCATCTATAGATTTTATGTTTAACTCAGCAACATCTGATGCTAAAATATCTGTGGAATTTTGGTAGTTTCTGAAATTTAATTGAAATATGTTAATTCATCACCTTTTGTCAAAAAATAATCGAAAATATATTTAAAAGTGATGTGTTAATAATAACTTTGTTTGAACCGAATTTGTAATTTTTGTTCAACAAAATATGAAAATAATGTTAGTTATTTCTCCTCTTATTAAAGAGCAACTGCTGATGTATTGGGATATATGTCAATAACTAGCTTATATCTAAATCTAGATATAAAAATATTGGGGATAATTTTAATAATTTGCTTATTTTTATAATTCGACATTGATTGTGCATTAATGCAATGAAGTTAGACATCAATGGTGGATGAAATTCGCATCGACTATCAAATATAACTATTACTAAGATTTTTATTATTTTACCTTATAGTTACTTGTAGAGATCCTTGCAAATTAAATGCTTTTAGGCCAGTTTCCATATAAACTTTAACACTCACATTCCACATATCATCATTAAGTTGTGTGAAGACATTAACGTCACGAATTGTGGCATGGTCATATGATTCTAATTCCACTGACTTCCTGTTGAAAAAAAATAATTTCAAATTATGTGTTATTTGGACACCTATTTCACGTGTGAAATTTATTTGATATATAATTCTACGGTTATAATAACAAATTAAAAAAAATTATCAACGAGTAAGACACACTTGGTGTCAAATATTACAAAATTCAAATCATTTTCTTATAAAGAATATGAACCAAAGTTGACTATCTTTTTAATAGACAGATTACAATTTAATATTAATTTAGAGTAATTTTTTGACCTTTATAATATTACTAATTATTTACTATTTTTATACCAGATTCCTTGAGATGGAAAAGCAGGTCCCCAATCCCAGGAAAAACTGGCCTGCATTTTTCTGAGCATATTTGCTCCACATTCTCCATGGTATTCTGTGGGAACACATGTTGGTACTGTCGGATATATTTTTTGCAACTTGGATGCTATGGTTACAGGTGAAAAGAATTTTACTATTAATTCGTTATCTTTTTCCTGAAAAAGAAATATTTAGTTCAGTAAGATATTTTTTTTTGTTATAAAAATTGATTGTTTTCATTCAAAACTTGATCACTTTTAAATAATCAGCACGAGGAAAGAGTGTACGAAAAATGTACAATAAATTGAAATTTAGAACTAATTTTAAATAAAAATTCTAAATTTATTTTAGAAAAAAATATAATAATTATTGATATTTCCAATTAAAACTTGATCACTCTTAAAAGGTCAACATGAAAAATAAGAATACGAAAAATGTACAGTAAATTGAAATTTAGAATTAATTTTAAATAGTTGGATTTTTGAAGACAAATAAATATCACACATAAATTAATCAGTACGTTAATTAAAAATGTAGTTACTCTTTGATAAAATAATAAATTGAGAGAACACTTTTTATGATTATATGTCTATGTAGATGTAATATTTGATGATCCAGAACTACTCATCATGATTGTCTTAAATAACTACATAAGTAACCAAAGGAATTTATTTTTTTGTTTTTTTTTTTTTTAATATGACTTTTTTAATTTTAATTTTTTTCTGCGATCTATAAATATAATTACATTTAGCAGAGAATGCTGACAAGTTGTTTACAATTAATTGTTTACAAGCTAGTAGATACATAATATAAAAATTATGCGAAACATAAATTATAAGCATAATTAGAATTTTCACGAATTTATTACTAAGTTAAACATATAGATATTTATATTTATAATTTATTCAACATTTTGCAGGAAAATGGAAATATTTAAAATATTCAAGAAAATTCCATGACAAATGTTATTTTGGTTTCACAATTAGTTTTGCATAAACGATAATGTAAAATAATCGAATTTTCTTCAGTGTTTTTGTCTGTATATTTATTTAATATACTTGGTATATTTGTATTTATCTCACCTTTAAGGTATATTTGACATCATATCGATATCTTACGAACATGTTATCAGTCATATCCAAAATCAGGCCATTTAATGTAATATTGGCGATTGTATCTAAACCATGAAAAACCAGCATCATATGCTCTCTTCTTGCATTTAGCAAATCTGGAACTGAAAAAATAAAAAAATATTAAATATAAGCATTAATTGAACTAATTTTATTACTTCAAAAAATCCAGTATAATATAGATTCCCTTTATATCATATTAAGTTCCTTTCCATGAGTTTTATGGAACAACTTTGTAATTTAATTTACTTGATTTTGGCTGTAATAGTACATGAATAAATATGAGTACAGACTGAAGGGCAACTAGAGATTTAAAGGTTAAGTATGTATAATTTATTGCTTTTCTGAGACTTACATTAAAATATTAGTTGATAATGGGAATAAATAATAATACTATTTTTTTCATTGCATATCTTGATAACCTAATTATATTTTTTTGCAGACTTTATTATGAATTTTTTTTTTATGAACAATTTGTAAAGTAATGCCCTAGGGCTACTTTTGTTGTATACGACTCGTATATGACTTTTTTTGCATATTTTTGAATAAGGTTCACTAATATTTTTCAATGGTGGTAAGATTTTTATCTTACCATCAAATTTTTTAGTGTAAGTCCAGGATTCCTTGGCCACCCATCTGGTGGCAACATCATTTTCAGCTTGTAAAATTTCTGGAATTACTCCAAATTTCATCAGGGTTGAATAAACTCCTCCAGGAACTGTTACGTTCTCTAATTTTATTGCTAAAATATTTAAAATATATATAATAATTGTATAAACATATTTAAAACAATTCGTCAGATAAAAACAAAAAAAAACATCTTTTACTTTGCATCATATGCATTTTTACTTTGAACATTGGAAAATCATGTGTAGTGATTTCAGATCAATATATATAGAAATTACATGAATAATAGGTGAATTAATGCAAGTTTAAAAATAAATCAACAAAATTTTCTACATTTTTTGCAACTTGTTAAAAGTGTAAAATATAAACTTCAATATCTTATTAAACTTTAGTGACTACTTTTTACGAATTTTCCAAAAATTAATAAATGTCCTTAGATAAATTAGACTAAATGATTTTTATAATATCAAATTTAGTCTTTTGTTATTAATATTATAATAAATAACTTTGTAACTTATTTTAATAATAACTCATGGAAAATTTTCACATGATTTTATTTTGAATGGTAATATTTAGCAACAAATGCTATATTAGTATTATTTGATTAAATATTTCAAACAGAAACAATATTGATTAATCTCAGTTAATTATAACAAGAATTTGTTGTCAAACATTAATTCACATTGAAAATTTAATTAACAGCTTATAGGATAGTTAAGTGGCTCATTGGTGATTGAAATTTATAAGAAAATAATAGACAGAAAAATAAATCATATATTTATTATTGGAAAAAACCAAATGTGTCAATTACGATATAGTTTATATAAGAAGTTTAATTAGTTTAATTTTAAATTAATGATACTTGCTGATCTCGATTGGAAATATTTTGTTTTACTAACAAATTCAAAAATTAGAAGGTTTCAAGTACTAAACTATGGGGATTAAAATTTAAATGGCAAGAACTTTATGTTTTATTTATGTTTCATTTTTGACTAATAAAATAAATGTCTCAAAAATATATTAACAACAATACAAAAATTATTTAATTACTCACTTCCATCTTCATTAGTTAATGTCCAATCATTCCCTGTTAAATTTATCAGTACTTCATTATTCGATCTCGCCATCGAATTTAAATGATACTCTTCATTTCCGAAAACTTGGACTACCAAAAGTCCAAAAAACAACAGATATTTTTTCTTCATTTTGTTTTAAAAATAATCACAAACTCTATAAAATTAATCAATAAATAATAAACTCTATAAAATTGTTCTTATTATCACTAATCACAACGTTTCGACTTCAGGCCATGTTTTGCTCTATTGATTTCTGCACCAACTGAAAATATTGGAGAAATATATTATTGTTTGTGCATGAAGTCAATATCTGATTGAATAAAGATGATAATTGTATAATGTATCAATATTATTTTAAAGCCATTGTGTTTTCTAATAAATATTATCTTGAAGTTTCAGATTAAACCGATGCATCTATCAAATGCCATTCAATTCTGCAAAGAATTGAAAACATAAATTTAAGGTATTAACTGTAAGTATATAGACTTTAGGATTAGAAATAATTCAAATCTAAGGTAATATATTTGCAATGTGGAAGTAAGTAGTAGTTAGTTTAGTTGATATTCTACCATTTACCACAGTTTTACAATTTTAATTTATCATTGATATAATTATTCAACTAATTACTTAACTGAAGATAACGATTATACTTTTCTGGTGTCTTATTCTCCTAAATAAATATATTTATACTAGAGAAAATATAATCAGTACGATTCCTAATATTTTTTGGGAATTTAATTACCAAGTTGGTCTTTCAGGAGAAAATATAAACTTCTTCTTCGCAAAGGTAAAAATATTGGACTTAATTTTATAGAGTATGTAGTAGGAAGAGTTAGCTATGGGTACATGAAATAATTAAGTAAAACTAGATGTATTTAATAAATTTGTTGGAGAACATGATTAATTCTATTGATATCTTATTTAATTTGAGACCAACCATGTAATCCTAAATAAAACAAGTTTTATAATTTCATTAGGTTACTTCTTAGAATCTCATATTGCAAAAACACATAGATTTTAGCGTATGTAAATTGTTCAATAAACTTTTTTGTCTCAAATTTAATACTAGTGAATTATGAATAAAATTGAAAAAATATCACTATTATTAAAGAAAAATATTTTATTTTCAATTTACACAATTTTCAATTTATTTATATCCACAGTGTTTTTACATTTTCACACACCACGTTAAACACAATTATTTATATTAAACAAATTAATTGCACTATTCATCACTATTTATATCCATTATCACTATTTATAAGGAAATATATTATTACTAGTCTAATATAATTCTATGTTTCTCTATTGAATATTTGTTTTTCACTAGTTAAAAATAGTTTAAATTTTGAGTTTAGGTCAAGTTTGTCGGAGGTCAAGAGGTTGTTCTCGAGGCGCCAACTTTAAACTGATTGTCGGTCAGTCGTACTAACAGTTGAAATTCGTAGAACATATTCGTACTTTATGAAATGCCCACCATGCGGTAGAGCAGAGGAGAGGAAACTTTTAGAAAAGGTAATAAAATATGTATTTTCTATATGAAAATATTTTAAATGTATAAAAAAAATTGAATTTTAAGTGGCATTTTGTCTTCAGGCAAGTTGCATGAACTCCCCGACATGAGCAAACAACTAATAAGATATTAATATCAATAGAGCATCATGTGAGAAACTATTGCAGATTATTCACTTTTTTTATTTATTTTTTTTATCAATCAACATATTCAATTTTTTTATTATTATTTTTTTGTAATAAGTCATTAAAGTTTAGATTAACAAGAATAAATTATAACAAAAAAAATTTTGTTAAACATTTTTGAAAAAACGAGCACGCTCTCAAACGTATCTAAAAAAGCTCGTCCGATTTGGGCCAACATTTTTTTTTAATTAATCCACGACAAGCATAGACCTCTAATATTTTTGTATGTTTATTAAGACTAGCAACTCTATGATAATACAAAGTTCAATTTGAATCGACAGTTTTTTTTAACAATCAGTTACAGAGAAATGCCTTGGACAATCTTTGACAAAAACTAATCAGTGCAATTGCCAACTGTTATCTTTCAAATAGTTCCTGAATTTTCACAATCTAAGTGAGGCAAAATGTTACTTACAACTAGCTTTTTTCTCATTAAATGACATTATATTGTGTTATCTAAACCATTATTATATTTTTCATTAATTGATGTGTTGATATATCTAAATTATTTTCTTAGGCCTGAATAGAAAATGTTTTGCATCAGAGGCAATAGTTCCTCATCAGGTAAGATAGTACTAGATATAAAAGTATATAAGATCCACTGGAAAGTTTATACATCATTCAGATTAAATAATTAAACTAGATAAGATACTCGTTAAACTATTTATATCTATTAGAAATATTTGTCTTTATTTTTACCAAAAAAATAATTTTCATATCAATAGGTCAAAGCAAACTGCTACAGAAATAAGTACTAGAAACATTATATAAAATATTTTATTGATATTTTTATTTTATGTATTTAGAGTAATTCTTTGTAGAGTACATTGCAATATTGCAATATTAATGCATTATAATTACATTACTATAAGTAGTCATGCTGGTTTTAATAAATACTTCTTTAATTTTAAAAGTCAGATGTACAAGTCTGATTTGTATAAAAAAACAACTTCGTAAAATAATCAAATACTTTTCTAACATTTTTATTTTTTGTGTTGATGTATTATTTAACATATTATGTTTCATTGCAATATTATAAATAATGCATGTTAAAAAAATCTGTTAAAGTTAACTTCATTTTATATTATGTGAACAAAATTTTACTAAAAAAAATTCTAAATTTTGAAGAAGGTGAAATATATATGTCTTTAGATAGCTAAAGATGACTGTTATTTAATTTTAATATTATCACTGAATTTTTACAAAATATTCAATATTTATGATGCAAATACGAAAAAATGTTTTTAAATTTGCTGACTTATTTATTTTGATTTACAGTAATGCGTGTAAAGGACTGACATTCGTATGCTCCACATATGATTGTAATTGCAATATTACATTTGTTCATTTCCATGAGAAAGAATTAGGTGAGTGTGTAAATGGAATGTTTTCACAAAGCCGCATCTTTTGATAAATATAAATTCATAACTAGTTTTAAAAATTATAAATTAAAGTTGGTTTTTAGATTTAAAAAATCAAGTCGGAGTTGTGTGATCTAAATTGGAGATAATTTGGAAGCAATTTGGCTTGATTTGCCTTTTTACATTTTTTACTCATATGATTTTACTTTACTCCGGTTTTATTATACAATATTTTATTTGTCATTTCAACAAATTTGCTTACTATTTATAAAGGAATTGATCCTGATTGTTCCAAATAAAAAAAATCTTTAAGAAGATTTATGGCTTTTACCTGGTTCTGGTATGACGCTAAGTGCATAATCATGTTAAACAAATTTTTGTATTTTCAGCTTTGATATTTGAATTGAATTATTTTGACACTACTCTTAGGCTATTATTTAGGAAAATATCTACAGATTTTATTTCAATTCTTCAAACTCGACGTCTTTAATAAGCCATAAAACATTGAGGTAACAATAATTTAACTTTATTATTTTTATCTAATTTGGTTCTGACTGAAATGCTAAGTAAGTATATGTTAAACTTGTATTATATCTGTTCATGTCAGTGATAAAAGGTGTTTTAACAGTGCTTGAATGGGATTAAAACTGCCGGAAATGACCAGAGGAAATAACAACGACAACGACTATTGTGTTTTCTTGTCTTGGATGAGCAACATTTTAAACTGCGCAATCGCAAATGTCGGAATTATTTTAAAATGGAAGTTTTCATACTGGCCTTACATTTAACAGATATTAATATTTATTATTTTTAACAGCAATCATAGCTTCACGGGTACTATGAGCTGTTGTGCCAACTTCTTCAACGTCGTGGCTTTATATGACAACCCAAATGGTTGTCTTATCTCTATGTGATAAAATTATTATAACAATATTCGTAATACTAATGATTTTTTTATTTGTTCAGCAATTTTGAGTAAGGGCTATTTTTACTTGGAAACGAAAATCACTGCTGCTTGACATAAGCTGTCCAAGAAATCTATCGAAATTGGAATCTCTGAGTCGAAGTCCATAGTTCTAAC